CCAAGGTCCGGAGCCGCCCTGCGCTGGAGGAAGGCCGGGGCACAAGCAGAGTCACTCGGGAATCGAGGCAGAGAGGCCGCAGGAAGCCGTGGCCCAGCATTGCGTTTAATGAATAAACATCCTCGGTTCCCATTTCCCAGGAATCCAGAGAAAAGTGCGGATTTTAGAGAAGAGGGGAGGGTGAAGGCTGGGCGGGGCAGAGAGGCAGCATCTGATTTTATCTGGCTTCTTTCCAACAAGAAGATCTGATCCATCATTTTCTCTGGGTGAGAGCTCTTACTGAAAATGTAGAGTGTGACTGAGGTTCAGGACCCTCCGGGGAATCTGCCGGGAAGACGTCTAGCAGCCCCATGAAACTCGCTCCTGCAGAGCCTCCCCGAGAGGACGGCCGTGTGCAAAGCCATCGGTCTGCAGTGTGGCTCCCAGACCCCGTCGCCCTCGCCCTGGCAGGAAACTGTCCCCAGAAGCACAGCCAAGACGTGCTTGTGGCCTGGGGAGGCAGCATCTCCTCCGAGACCCCAGTGCACGACTCTTGGCCTGTGTGAAAAGGGCCACACAGAGGGGCAGGTCCTTGGCTCAGCCTCTCAGAGACACGCATGTCGCCCTGGGACACGTCCCACCGCTGTCTTTCCTCAGACAAAGATGGGGGAGCTGGGGTTGGTGCAACACCACCTCCTCCTAGTTCCAGATGTTTCGTCACCCAGACTGAAGCCCCGCACCCACTAGCCATCAGCCCCTCCCCTGCCACCCACAGGAGCCATTCCACGCATGCCATCTGTGGCCCTCTGCGTCTGGACCGTGTCACTCACAAGGATGTCCTCGCGGTTCACACAGCAGCAGGATGGAGCTTTGCCCCTTTCACCCCAAGGAACATCCCGCACCCCCACCCAGGCCTCTGCTGCCGCCTTTAGGCTGCTGTGAACGAAGCCAAAGTGGACATGTGCGTGTGAGACACCAGACCACCGGGACCCCAGCTGCCAGGGCGCAGAAGGCTGGGGCTGCACGGCCGGCAGGGCCACCTGGCCTGCCCATTCAAGTCCCTCTCCCAGTCCTCAGGGACAAACCAGAGCGGGTCACCCGGAGGCTCTGTGTCTGGCCTTATGAGGGACCAGCAGCACCCGTCAACCCGCTGACAGCTGTGCTATTCCAAGCTCCCACGTGCAGGGCCCGACTTCTCCACCCTCGCCAGCACTTGTGCGTTTTGCCCTCCCACAAACAGTGGTGTGGGTGGGTGTGAGGTGTGTGGTGGGGCTTTGACTTGCACGTCGCCGAGCATCTGTGCAGGTCCTTGCTGGCCGCCTCTGGCCATCTTCCTCGGGGACGCCTGCTCAGGTGCTCAGAGCGTTTCTCATCAGGTGGTTTTCCTTTTGGTTGCTTCCACTCGCCTTTCTTGAGCCCCTGGAGGACAGCAGGCTGGGAGGCAGCGACTCTGGCCATTTGGTGCAGGAGGGAGGGGGACTCTCAGCCTTTCAGCATTCTCCTGGGTGTCCTCTTTGCAAATCTTTGATCAGAGGAAGTTACAGTTCAGTATATTTTATTTTCTCCCAGGAACACATGGATCCCAGTTATCATAGAACACAAGCAATGACCTGGAGGCCAGGTGACACCTCAAGCCAGCACAACGTAGAAAAGCTGCCGGTGCTTCCAAACCAACCACATGCAAGCTCACTGCAACCCTAAGTCCTGGAAAGGATTTTAAGAACCAAAATCCTCCCTTGTGCAAAGGGAAACATGGTTACTGCTTATGCCCGACAGCACACGGTGGCACCGGACATCACCACGAAACTAGTGATAAATGCCACATGCGAGAGCCTCCTACCCTTTCAAAGTCATGCCAAGTCTGTGCCCTGCACAGCAGGCTCCATGTTCCTTTATTTCTGCGTATGATGAAAAGGCAGTATCTTCATCTCCACAAAAGCAGGCACACCCACCCAGGACATGGTCCAGCCAAGGCGGAGGCCCACCACCACCACCCCAGCTTCCTGGGACCCTGGGACCCTGACCCTAACCCTTACCCCGCATTCACCCGCCTAATCCTCACACCCTGTGCAGTTGGGACCAAGCCGGGCTCACAGGCAAGGAAGCCAGGGCCCAGAGAGGCTGAAGCCGCAGCTAGGAGGGGACAACCCCCCAGCAGCCTGGCTCCAAAGTAAGGCCGATCCCTGAGACACCAGACCACCGGGACCCCAGCGGCCAGGGCGCAGAAGGCTGGGGCTGCACGGCCGGCAGGGCCGCCTGGCCTGCCCTCCAGGCCCTGCCCCCTCTGCTCCATCCACACGGAGGTCTGAGCTCCCTGGCTTCGGAGGGGCAGCTTGACGTGCACCCACTGGGGGAAAGAAAGGAGGCGTGTGGAGGTTAGAAGGGGAAGTTCTGGCTGCTCACCCACAGCAAAAACAGTCCAGATTGGCCCAAGGCAACGTTTGGTTTGCTTTTCTGAGGATGAACCGTGAAAGCTCATTTCTGGGGAAGAGGGCTGGCTCTGTTTCTGCTGTAAATACTGGAGGACAGGCCAGTCCAGGAGGCCACGGGGCAAGAGGGGCGCAGTCAGGTGGAACATCTGGAGCTGGGAGTCAACAGCAGAAGGGTCAGGAGATGCTCCCACCCCGGGCTCGCGTGGGGCGGCCACTGGCCTGTGTCTGAGAGGCAGTGGGAAGCAGAGGCCGGCCAAGAACACCTATTCAGGGCCCTGTGACCCTGTGTCAGCGTGGGGTCCTGACGCTCACAAACGCACCACCTGCCGCAGTGCAGGGCAGGGGAGGGGGCTGTCCTCCACTGTCTTCTGTGAACCTAAGACTGCTCTAAAAAGATTAGACTAATTATGTTTTTAAAGTGGCAAGTCTCCCCATAATCACAGCCTCCCTGTCTCCACAGACACCAAAAGGTAGAAGAACAGAGACCCTTGCGATTGATCTGCAAAGGCCCCGACACAGAGCTGCCCATGGTGGCTCGCCCGGGGCTCCTGAGGCCTGGGGACCAGCCCCACTCGCTTCAGGGTCCCCAGGATGGTGTTTTCTGGAAGTCCCGGATGCTCTGGGCCTCAGCAGGACAGAGGGGCAAGCTCCTTAACGCTGAGTGACCTTGGCTACAAACCAGATTTCTGCAAGCTCGTTTCTTCCATATGATCATATTAGATATTTTACATCTGACCCTTCATATCTTCAACAAAAGGAATTGAAAGGCAGTCAGTCAACATGGACAGAACCTGAGACAGGGCCGTGTGGGGCCATCCATGGCCCAGGGTGAGTCCAGGGGCACGGGCCCCACAGGACGGACTGTAAGATCCCCATTCCTTTAGCAGGTGAGGTGGAATGTCCCCAGGGCCGCAGGACAGACGCTGTCAGAATGCACCAAGGCAGCACTAATGTGAAACACCTCTACGTTTGTTATGGGAATATAATGCCGTGTTTTGTTAAAATGTGATGTTCACATGTAGTGGGAATATCATTGGTTTTAAGTAAAAGTATTAACATAACAGATTTCTCCACAGGGTGGTATCTGTAGATACCACTCCATAACAGAAACTCAAGGATGCTTAATGCGTCCAGGGGTCGTGAGCAGAGCCCTGGGTCTGTGGTCCTTGGGAACCGGGAGGCCATCACGCGGCCTGCGGCTCCCCCTAGTGGCAGCGGGGATACAGCCAGCTGCGCGTAGCGGGACCCCAGCCACCGCGCAGTCACGGATGGGTCCCAGCGGGAAGGTCTTGAGAAGCGTCTTTTTGGAGGTGCAGGGGAAACTTAACATCAGATTCTGCCCTGCCATGGCTGTTGGGGCCCTCCTCCCAGACTCAGCCCCGCAGATCTTGGCCAAGGCCCCACTGGGGTCCCCGGATACCACGGGGAGTACTTCTCAGGTTCCACTGCCACTGGAGTGTCTGCCCGCTAGACAGGGACCCCCAGAAGGCGGGACTTCACCACCTGCACGTGCCGGACGCCACCTAGGGCCGGACCAGGGGGCTCAAGGAGGGAAGGGGGGAACTCGTGAGCACATGTGATGGCAGGGGACGTGGAGGCACAGGGAGAAACAGCCTCGCAGCCAGAACCCGGGGCTAGGTTCACCAAGGTAGGCCGGGGGGTAGCCGCTTTGGGCGTGCGGATGCTAATCAGCACCCATAGTCCTCAGCCACTAGCCTCAGTAGCACCCCCAGTCATGACAGCTAGAAATGTGTCCATACATTCCCCCAGTGTCCCCTGGGGGTAGCAATGGGGCAAGATTACACCTGGGGTGTGAAACGTCAGAGTTCCTCTCCTGGCCTTACCTCGGCCAGATTCTGTCCCGAGGCCGCGGCTCCCCGGCGGCCTGCACACCTGCCCTCACGCCTCACCTCATCACCCTAGCCACCAGGCAGCCAGGGACATGCCCTGAAGTCCTTGGACAGGGTCCCTTTAGACAGGCTTTGCCTCCTGCTCGCCATCCGTCCAGCCTGTAACTTTTGCACACCTGCCTGAGGTCAATCCCCAAGACAACCTGCGGGAGGTTCAGCGTGGACCCTAAGTATGTGGCTCATTTGGGTCTCTACGAACAGCCCCTTCGGCAGGGACAGGAGAGTCCGCAGCTTTGCAGATTGCAACGTGGGCTGGGGTCCGCAGCTTTGCAGATTGGCAACTAGGGGGTACCAGAGGAGGGGCTAGGGAACCAGCCCTGGGGGGACCCGAGAGGGGCCCTGGGGGCTTCTCTCCTGTCGTCTGTCCCCAACAACGCCACGTTTAACGCGGAGTCCCACGGCCCAACTCGCTCCCCAACAGCCGCTGGTAGGAGTGAGGTCATTTGCTAAAACTGAACACAAGCCCGGGAGGGCCCTCCAGCCGCGCACGTCCGTGCGGGGAACCCAGCTCGCCGGCATCAAACCGAAACGGCCCCTGCGGCTGCGCGGACCCCCTCCACCTACGCTTCCGCTCGGCTGACGCCGCTGCCCGGCCCCAAGGAGGCTGCGCCCGGAGGCGTGGCCAGAGGCCCCGCCCCCACGCAGGAGGGCTGCGTGCGCGCCCCGCCCCTTCCGGCGCCCACCCGGAAGTGGTCTCACGACGGAGATGGGCGGCTCGGCGGCCGCCGCCGGCCTGACGTCGGACTGTCCTGCGGTGGCGCGGAGCTTCTGGGCTCTGTAAGTGAGCCCCTCGCTGAATGTCTCCCGCCAGTGTTTCCCTTGCTTGGTCTCTGTGCGGAACCTTCTGGTTTCGCGGGTTATATGCGCTGTCCTGAGTGCTCCTGCTTGGACCGCCCTGGGGAGCCTGCGCCGCGCCGCTGGGCCCGGGCCCGGCCACCGCCGGGAGCGGTGTGCGGACAGCGGGCGGGGAGGCTGGCCTCCCTCACGGGCCCCTGCTCGGTTCCCGTGACTTGTGCCAGGGGCCCGTCGCTATCCCACGTCACGGGCGCGGTGCCTGTCCCTGTGCTGACGCGGGTGCTGGCCGCACCCTCTCCCCGCGCTACCGCGCCGCGCGGGGCTTACCTGGCCACAGGTCCTGGCGGGCGACGGGTGGCCGGCGGGGTCCCGCTGAGCCCCGTGTTAGAAGGCAGCGTCGGGGCCCCCTGCGCGCCTTCTGGGGCAGCAGCCCTTCCTGGAACAGAGCAGCTTCCTGACCTCTCTTGCCCTGCAGGTGACCCCGCCCCCTTCCAGACGGTAAGGCTCTCCTCTCCTCGTGTTCTGCGCAGGCTTTGTGGTTACACCGGATACCTTGTAGTCACCCGGGGACACCCGGCCCTACATCCCAGGGTTGTCGAATCGAGGGGAGTCAGGCCGTGGCCATGCAGTTTGGCCAGGAGCTTGTGGTGGGTCCCCTTAGCCATGCCTCCATGCGTGATCCCCTTCCCACCGACCACTATGCACCCGTCTGGCCCTGGTTCCTGAGGATTCTGCACCCACCCTTCCCTTTGCCACACTTGGTGCGGACTTGCCTAGGAGCTGCTCCCACCCGCGCCCTCATGCAACCTGGTGGAGCTGGCTCGCTGGCACTGGGCCTACCTTGCCCCACCTTGTCACGGACTTCACATGTGGGGTCAGCAGTGAAGCCTGCACCCAGCTGCCATTCCACGTTCAGGCGGAATTCTCAACAGTCACTGCACGGGGCTGGGTGTCCTGCTCTGCATCAAGAGACCACAGGCCCAGCGCTGTCATGAAGTCCTGCCTTTGCACCACAGGTCAGGGTGGGGACACGCTCGTGACTTGAAGTGTGCACCTACCCTGTCCCTGCTTTGTGGCCGTGTGCCTTTGGGGGTGCAGACCAGCACATGAGCCAGCCATGTGCCAGGACCAGCACCTGCCTCATTAGGAACTGACCCTGAGTAGCAGATCAGAACCAGTCTCACGTGAGAATGACTTGCCTGCACAGGTGGAAGACCAGAGGCCTCATCACATGGGCCAGCTGCTGTGCCTGCCTCTGAGCTTCAGGAGCTGCTTCCTGTCCCATGCTCAGAAATCCTGAGCTTTTAAGAGGCACCTGCCCCAGGGTCCTGTCTCAGGTAGGACAGGATGGTGCTGACCACTCGTCCTGAGCTTGGCACAGTGCAGTCCACTCCTGAGGGCTGCTGGTCCGCAGGTTGGGCCTCGGCCGTGCAGGCTCTCCCACCACCAGCACTGAGAGGCCATCTCTGCTGCTCATTTGTCCCCGGGGCAAAGTCCCCCCACCTTTATTGGCTCAATGTAAGAATCTGTCATCCCAGGAGGGGACTTGTGACAGGGACAGCTGGCAGCCCCTATGCAGCTCTGAGGCATCTGGCGATGCAGGGTACCCCCCTGCACCCCACGGCACATCACAGTCTCCCCTTCCCTCCACAGACCTAGGAAAACTGCACTTGCAGATGGTGCTCACCTGCGTGGAGCAGACGCAACTGAGGACACCTCTGGCTTCCCTAGCTGATGCTCTCAGAGCAAAGTAGCTTCCTGGGGGATATCGGAACTGCCCAGGGGCAGGGGGGCTGCCTGACATCAGCCACAGTGTGGCTGGAGCAGAGGTCAAGCCACTGAGGGATGGAGCAACTGCAGCCGTTAGGATAATCAGCGGTAACCCAAGTCACCTCCCTGAGACGTCACGACGAGGACATGCCGGCCAGAGTCGTTCACCTGGTTTCCACAATCACTTGTACTACTTGCACACGTGAGTCTAATACTTATTTCTGAAAATCGTTTTCAACTTAAGATTACATAAAACTATCAAGTTTTCTAATGAGTTGTTTAATTGGCTGAAATAAAAGGTTTCTTTGGTAGTGTTCCCCGTGTTTGCCTCTGCCAGTTTTGTTTCCCTGGGAAACAAGTCATGTCCCCCTGCAGTTGCCAGGGCCACTGTCACTGCCTCTGGAGGGTTTGGCCCACTGGAGCCCATGGGTCCTGCACCCTCCCTGGGACAGGCACTGGTGGGCAAAGCCTCAGCAGTCCCGCCAGCCCAGGGCCTGCCGCACTGTCTCCCCACATGGAGCTGGAGGTGGCAATGGGTCACCCACACTCTCAGAAGTGATCTGATGACAGACCAGCCTTGGCTCTGGCCGCTGCTAGGCGAGCAATCTCAGGGCCAGCGCTGAGCTGCGGATCATCTGGTTAAGGTATCTCCTCCCTGAGCACCCCCGGGGCTGCCAGAAGGGGTCCGAGCACCCCACGTGCCACTTTTCGGTTCTTGTTTGCACAAATCTCACTGCACACCCCCACCCCCACGTCAGGAGCCTGGTGGGCATGGCCTGCTGTTTCTAGGCCAGAGAGGAGCCCAGTTAGCAGAGCTAATTTCAGAAAGGCGTCTGGTCTCCCTGGATGTGGCCTGGGCATCTGCACGGCAGTCAGACAGAGGACAAACTGTCCCTGCCTCCTAGGTGGCCTCCACCAGGGATCACGGGGCCTTTGGCACTGAGACCCGCCCAGTGAGGGCCCTGGGCATGCTTAGGGCCTCACAAGCCCCCCCCCAACCCTCCCAGGAGGGTGAGCACCCAGCATTGCCATGCCCAACTCACCAAAGACAGGGTCTCCAAGAGCCCACGGGCACAGGGCTCCGAGTGCTGGGGTCCGCACATGCGGGGGGAGGACAGGGCATGTGCTGACGCTGTGTGCAGATGCCCAGGTGTGAGGCAGACGCCTATGAGATGCTGCCGTGTGGGGCTCTGGTTGGTTTCAGCTGTGACCCCCCATGGGGCTGACTGCCCAGCGAGAGTCCCAGTGATGCCTGCAGCGTGGCCCCAGACAGGCCACGGGGTCCATACCATTCCTGGTCACACCAGGGCTTCACCTGGAGGACTAGGATGCTCCAGCCAGAGCCTATTTTGGGGGTCCCAGTCTGCCTGCACCCTCTGAGGGGAGGTGTGACGAACCTGGCTGGCCCACGTGTCAGTCCAGACCTTAAGCCAGTCCTGGGGCTGACGTGATGTGCTGCCCCAAGCCACCCACCCTGTGTGAGTGGGCGCCAGGCAGCCAGGAGGGATGGAGAGGACACCCGTGCCCTTAGCTCTACGTCCCCCCACCAGCTGTAAACTCTCAACAATAACCCATCATGTCCCTGACATGCCATCTCCTTGGAGCCTCCTGACCCCTCACCCTGTGGATGTGCCCGAGCCGCTGGAGGCACAGCAGACCCTGCACCGCAGTCACAGCAGGGGAGGAGAGCCCAGCAGGGAGATGCCCCCACCTTGCCTTCCAGGTGAGGCGGTGGCTCCTGACAGGCCCCCAGCCTGGGTGAGCCCACGGGAGCACGCTGCCCTCCATACCCGCCTGCCGTTGCTGCCTGGGGGCCCTCTCACCTGGGATGTAGGTGGCACCTGCGTCACTCGTGGCCCCAGGGGTGCAGCTCCTGAGAGCAGGGAAGGAAGGCGGGGCCCACAGCTATCCCAGGATGTTGTGTCCAGGAAGGGGACACAGTCCTGGCCGCAGCACCCATGCCAAGGGGTGGACGTGGAGGGCAGGGCATCTGCCTGGCCCCCGTCTTTGACTTGGGCCTGGCTGAGGACCCAGGGGGCGGGGTGATGGAATCCTTTCTGGAGCCCTCAAAGCTGCTCAGCCTGGGCATGGGCACCCCTGAGCCTGGCAACACCCCCAAGCACTGCGACCTGGGCCTGCACAGGACGGATCTGGCCATTCCCAGCACACGGCAGAACGAAGAGGGAAGCCCCTCGGGGCGGCCACCCACCGCTGGCCTGGGAGCAGGGGCAGGACCAGAGCAGGAGGCAGCTCCGTGCAAGCCCAGGGCCCCTTGCACGACAGGCTCATGCTGTGGGGTGCTCAGCCCCAGCTCCACGGGGGCGCAGTGTCCTGCCCTACCCCAGTACTTCCGCCTGGCCTGGTGACTCCGACCCGAGGGGGCATCAGAGGCCCGGGGTTTTCACCGGGAGCTGAAGGTCTTGGTGCCAGCACCCCAGGGCAGCTCAGGAGCCCCCAGGAAGACTCTTCATCGCACAGCAGCTCCCATCCCAGGCTAGCAAGTCCCCGGGGCCAGCCCGGCCTGAGGAGGGAGGGGCGTGGGCGGGCGGTGCCAGGGCCCAGCCCAGGTGGCAGGAGGGGGCGGGGCCCTGCCTGGGCTCTCCCTGCCTGGACACGGCTCGCTCCCCGCCACTCGCTTTCAGCACCTCACCACCACTCGCCCTCGCTGTCATCCAAGGTGAGTCTGAGGAACTGGGCCCTGGGGCTGAGCAGGACGCTTGCCCAGACCCCGCTGGAGTGACCTGGGCGGACCATCCTAGCCCTCAGGACGCCCCGACCTGAGGCTGGGTGTCCCCTGGGGCTGCGCAGACTGGTGGAGCGACCCTTCGGTATGCTGGTGAGGCAGGCGCAGGGCAGCCAACCAGGAGGGTAGCGCGACCGTGTGCAGGGCACCCCCCGCTGAGCCCACCCAGTGCAGGGCGCCCCATAGGGCAGGTAGTGCCAGGCGGCGGAAGGGGCTGTGTGCAGGGTGGCTGGACCCTTGGGCCCAGGAGGCCCCACCCACGTGGCTGTTCCAGTGCAGGGCCAAGCCCCCACCCAGGTGAGGCTGCTTAAGTTGCGGTGTGAGGGGAGCACCTGCATCCCTTGTTCACTACCCACCCCCAGATGTAGGCCCTAATCCCTGAGCGCTCCCACACCCTCTGCCAGCGGCCACTCCTGTGCCCCACCAGCCACTGTCACCAGCCTGGAGGGCTACCCCTGGTGACTGTCCCAAGATGGGAGACAGCTCCTGCCAGCCCTCGTCCGCCCCCTCGGTCAGGGAAGCTGGTCGTCTGGCTCCATTGGTGTGGGAGCAGCGGCCAGGGTGGGGGAGGCAGGGTGAGATCCGCCCGCATCTGTCCCCAACTGGCTGGATCTCCTGGGAGGTCGCCGGTGGCTCTGCCGAGCTGGCTCACAAGCAGAAACTGGGCCAGGCGGCATGTGCGTAGTTCTGGGGGAGCTCCCAGGCACAGGCGGCCACAGCTGTTCCGAGCCCTGGACCTGCTGCACAACCTGTGACCCCCTAAATCCTCAGCATGCCCCCCCCACCAGAGATGCAAATTGCAGGCAAATTCTGGGCCCCAGGATTACCGTGCCCTTGGGGTGGGCTTGGCCCATGCAGACCAGCAGGGAGCACGGGGAGGGGGCCAGGCAGGCCCCACCCCTCCCGTGAAGGTCTGGGCTGCCCTGTGCACCCAGGAGTGGGAACGTGGCTGGGGTCTGGGGGGTCTGTGCTGAGTGCCCTCCTCTAGCTCGAGGCAGGGTGTTGCCCCACCCCTCTCCCAGCCAGAGGTCTGGCCCTTGTAAGACTTTGACGGGAGTGGGGTGAGGTAGAGCTCAGAGTCGTTTCCTTCACAGTGTATTAGCCCCTTGAGAGAGATGACACACGGGGCCTCATTAGTGGGGCCTGAGCTTCCGGCCCTGCACCCCAGCACTGCCACAAGAACCTGGGGAAGACGGGTGGGTGGCAGTGAGCTGGGAGTCAGTGTACAAAGGGGTGGTTCCCTCCTTCCCTTTGTTGGGAGGGTCTCTAGGGCGCAACTGCAGGCTGGCCCCTCGCTAGTGCTCCCTCCCCTGCCCTCTAGCCCCAGGCTGGCTACTGCAGAAGCCCCAGATGCCATGGAGGAGTGGGATGTGCCCCAGATGAAGAAGGAGGTCGAGAGCCTCAAGCACCAGCTGGCCTTCAATAGGGAGGTGTCGTCCAAGACCATCCCAGAGTGAGTCCCCAGGACCCCAGGAGCCCGGCCCCGCCCTCAGCCGTCGTCTTGCATCTCGTTTCCCTGCCTCTGCACATTTGCATGAGCCGAGGCCACACCCACACATTGCCACTGGGCACTTCTGGGGACTGGCTGCCCACCTGCCCACTCCCCCTGACACCCACAGGCTCATCAAGTGGATCGAGGATGGGATCCCCAAGGACCCCTTCCTGAACCCCGACCTGATGAAGAACAACCCGTGGGTGGAGAAGGGCAAGTGTGCTATCCTCTGAGGCCCACCCCGCCTCACACCAGCTCTCAGGACGGCTCTGTGAAGGTGTGGCTTTTATAAAGATTGTTCACAGGCGCGATGCTCTGGTGTGTTCCTAGTGAACAGCGAGTGGCATCAGGTGTGGGCCCTGGGGCGTCTGGCGAGGATCATGGCGTCCCGTGTGGACGGGCCCAGCAGATCCCGGTGCCGGTGCGGCCCCGGCTACAGCAGGTCCCTGATGTACAGGCCGCGCCTGACGGCGTTGGAGACGCCCTCCTTGAAACGGAACCAGACGTCACTCCGGCCCACCGCCGTGCCCATGCGCTGCTCCGCCGTGTCGATCTCGGGGGTTGCGTCCTCTGTGGGGGCCACATGATCACTCCTGCCCCACCCTTGGCCCCCGCCCCACCCCCGTCCCGTACACACCTGCACTCAGGGTTGCTGCTCTCCTGACAACCACGCGACCGAAGAAATCCCTCTCGGGCTGAAGTGGCAGGCCAGTGAGGGTGACGGGCACAGCCCACAGCGGGCGCAGCCACGCCCCCATCATCCATCCAGGGTGGGAGGCGCCCACCGAGCCCCTCCTGCCCCGCCAGAGCCCCTTGGGGCTCAGCCCATGCCCACACCCGGGGCCACCCCTGCACCTGCTCCTCCACGCCCACTCTCTTCACGATGCGCTCCAGCCGCTGCTTGTGGCTGCACAGGGTAGCTGACTGCAGTCCTTCCTCCTCAGCACCCCCATGCAGACCCTCGTTCCCCAGGGGCCCCTCGTCCACCTGCTGGGAGTGGGGTGCAGTAAGGGCTGACTGGGCACGGCCATTCAGGGACAGGGTCCACTCCCAGAGCCCTGCCCTCCAGGCCTTGCTCTGCAGGGAGCCCGAGGCGAGCTCACCTGGGGGCTGCCCATAGCCCGGGCCTCTGCCCGCCGCATCTTCTCCATTTCGATCTCATGGGCGATGAGCTGCTGGGCCTGGTAGGTGAGGGGCTTGCGGGTGGGCAGCTCAGGAAAGCGACAGAGCTCCTCCACATTCCTGTTGGGGCACCAGGACACCCAGTCAGTGGAGACCAACAGGGGCCACCACCACACAGACCCAGACGCCAGCCAGCGTAAGGGCCCAGCCCCAGGGCAGCAGAGGGCACTGGGCACCCTGAGCCTGTTTCCCCAGGTGTATGTGGGCATGAGAAAGGGGTCCTCCCCACAGCTGCCGGGGAGGAAACGAGACAATATGGCCGGCTGAGCACCCAGGGAGCACCAGCAGCAAGGGAGAGCTTCGTCCTGGGCACCGCTGGTACCCTCGCCAGGAGCTGGGGCCCAGGGCCTGCACTCTATCCCACGGCCACCTTAGGGCAGGAAATGGGGCCTGAGGCTGTGAGGGGCTCGGGTCTCAGGGCTGTGCCCACCCAGTTGAGGGCTGAGCTGGAGCTGACACCTGCTGTGCCCCAGCAAGCAGGGGAATTGAGACCCCTCGCCGAGGCCGTGCTTTCACGCTCAGGCCCAGCGATCGCCACGGCACTGGAGCCCAGCCCCCAGCCTCCCTGCCCTGGCATCCCCGCCGTGGGTGCTGGGCACTCACGGCTCAAGCCTATAGACATACAGCCCATCAGGCATGCGCTCCTGGCGGTAGGTGAGGCTGTAAGCAAGCATGGTGCCCACCAGGCTGGCCAGCTGCTGCTTCTCGCGGGCACTGAACAGCTGAGTGCTCACCTGTGGGCGGGGGCAGCACAGGGGCGCTCAGTGCAGACAGGCCACCCCCCCAGGCCGCCCCTCCCAGGCGGGCACTCACAGGCCGCAGCTTGGGCGTCAGGATGTCCAGAAGCAGGCAGAGCGTGTCCAGGACCAGGGCCTGGGGTGTGGCCCGGCTGCGGGTGGCCGGCGCGATGCCCGACACCAGCGTCTGGATCAGGTTCTGCATTCGGCTGGTCCGGCTCTGGGCCTGGCGGGCGGGGTGAACACAGCTGGTCACCCAGGATCCCTAGGCCAGAACCAGCGTGAGCAGGACACGCGCACACCTCTTGCTGGCTGCTGGGGAAGACGACTCTCGGCGTGCGGCTGGAGGCGAAGAGCAGGTGGAAGGCGGCAGGCAGGAAGGGCAGGTAGCGCAGCAGCTGAAAGCTCTGGCCACGGTGGGCGGCCCGGCCCAGCATGTCGTCAAAGGCCAGCCAGTCAAGGGCCGTGCACACAGTGCCGAGGCTGGAGTCCCGTAGCCGCAGGCGCAGGAAGTTGTCGAACAGGCCCTGGGGCGGGTGGGCAGGTGGAGTCAAGTCCCTGTGCCTTCTGCCCAGCATCACCTCCCACCGGCCCTGCCAAGTCCAGGATCTTGGGGGTGGTGAGAAGCTCCAAGCGGCCGCCAGGCAAGTCCAGTCTGCCCCCCCCCCCCAACCCGGTTTGGCCAAGACCCAGAGGCGTACAGGAAGGCCCCTGCCCCGCCCTAAAGGAAGTTGTCCGCCAGAAGCAGACACACAGTGTCCTCTCCGGGCCCACAAGCATGTGCCCTCCCGCGGCCGCGGCTTTCAGGATTTGCATGGATCCATCCCCTGATCCAAAGCAGCTTACTCAGGGAGGCACTGACGACTGGCTTCTGGGGGCAGAAGGCGTGTGTGCCACCTGCTGTCCACCCCACACACACACTGTCTCAGCTCACACCAGAACCCGGCCCCTCCCAGCCCAGTGAGGCCGCCCTCGGGTGGTTCCCAACCAGCCCCCACTGACCCCATCAGCTGGACAACACCCTCTGTGCATCCTGGCCCCTGCCCTGATCGCCACCACTTCTGAGGTCTCCCTGACGCCCCGAGCCCACCACCTACTAGCATGCTCTAGTCCACCCATCCCTCCTCGGGCTCAGCACCAGCTCAAGGTCTCCACCGGGGACAGGGACAAGGCAAGCTAGGGGCTTCCTGGGCCACCCCGAGAGGTGTGGGGTGGGGCACGGTTACCTGGACCACCTTCTCATGCTCCCCTGCGGAGGCAGCCACATGCAGGATGCGGTAGAGGCGCTGTGAAGCCAAGGTCAGAGGCCGCTCCGCGGCCTGCGGGCCCCCGCCCATGGGCCCACCATTGAGCAGGAACGTGGGGAACAGCAGGGCTGGGTCTGGGCCGCCACGCTGCCTGCAGAGCAGGCGCTGAGGCTGCAACGGAGCTCCTCCCGCCCCCTCACTCCTCAGGGGGCACCCACCACCCACGTGTGTGCAGCTGCTTTGCGGATAGTTGGGGGTTGGTGGGGGCCCAGTGGACCCCACTCACCACCCTACCCCCACCTACCGCTGGGCCTGCGGCAGCTGGAACACCTCCTGCCACACGGAGAAGAGTCCCTTGCGCTGGTCCTTGAGGCCAATGCGCGTGGTCTGCACGGCCTGCACACTCAGCTCCCGCTGGCCCTGCCCATGAAGGAACTGGACATGGAGTGGTGGGGTGGTGAGCCAAGACTGGCCCAGCCTGCCCTGCCCCCGCCCCAGCCCCCTGCCCACCTGCAGGGTGTTGACACAGGCCCGGATGTCATTGTGCGTCTTCTCACAGAGGGCTGCCAGCGCACCCGGGTCAGCCTGCATGCCCTGCTGCAGGCAGATCTGCTGGGAAACGGTGAATGGGTCCTCGAGCCCACCCTGGGCCGTCTTTTCTCGAGAAACAGGTGAACAGCAGCTGGCCCTCTATGGGGGACAACCTCAGCCCCTGGGGACCACACACCACCAAGACCAAACTGGTCCAGTCGCCCCACTGCCACGCCCTGGGGCCAACTGGAAGGCCAGATAGGAGGGGGAGGCAGAGACCAGAAGGGTCCCCACAGACCTCCTGGAGCCGCTGCAGGAGCCTCGATGGCAGGGTGGGCGGGAAGTGGAGCAGAAAGGCCTGTTGCTTCAGATGCCGCAGAGAGGGCACGAACCTACAGGAGACGGGTAGTGTTCACCACGCCCCAAACCCCAGCCTGGATCCACTGGGTGGCCAGGCGGCGCACGCCCTCCCAGGCCCGCTGCCCTGCCGTGGAGGCTGCCTGAGGAGACCCTGGCCCTGCCCCACTCACGGGTCATTGCAGATGCAGACAACAGGCCTCATCAGGAGCCCCCCCCCTGCCCAGCGCCGCCGACCCACGCCCGTGGGCACAGCCAGACCCCCTGGCTCTGCCTCCTGCGGGCCCTTCCGGTCCAGGATGCTCAGGAGTATGTTGACAGCAGCCTGGGGGTCATGCAGAGAGCACAGTGAGCTGCAGCCGCAGCTGCCCACCCCCTGCCCGCCTGCCAAGGTACCCAGGAGGCCCACCATGGGGGCTCCGTCAATCTCATCAATGACCAGGCAGTTGGGAGTCCCGCCGGCACCCAGCACCGACTCCATCTGCGTGGCTGCCTCGATGCGCATGCGGAAGGCCTCAGGGCTGCGGTCGTCACTGGAGCCATGAGGCCAGGAAAGGGCTGTCAGGGCAGAGTGGCCTCGGCCGGGGCAGCAGCCAGGGTCCCTGATGGGACTGTCTCCTGGGCCAAGAGGCCACGCCCACACCTCAAGGCTGCTGATGCAGCTGCCCCAAATCCCATGGGGTCAGGAGGAAGCATGAACGCCACCCCCGCGTCCCCAAGACCTCAGCCCCACCTCTAATGGGGTTTGGGGCCATGTCCCAGATGCAGCCAGAAACGGCAGCACAGACGAGGGGCAGAGACTGCACCCCCAGGCTCACCTCGCGTTCATCTCCACTACGGAGTACCCAGCATGCCGTGCAATCACATGGGCCAGCGTGGTCTTGCCCAGCCCAGGGGGGCCACACAGCAGTGCCACCTGCAGTGGCGGCAAACGAAGACGCACTGCAGCCTGCACCGTGAGGGCTGCGAGGCCCTCTTCCCAAGGCTGACACCCTGCCCGGGAGGCTCAGCACTAAGCCCCCTTACCCCACCCAGCCACCAAATACAGACAGACAGCAGCGTGCTCACAGCTTAGCACAGGGGCTTCAAAGCAAGATAAAAAAACCCACAGGAGGAAGTGATGAGGGTGCCCAGCGGGACCACAGCCATTAGCAACGTGACCGACCCCCAGAAACTGCCTGTGAGCGTTAGTACTCTGGGAGACACAGACCCTCCATGGGGTGCAGGCTCTCCCTGAGCCGCTACGAGAAAACACTCCACACTAGACTCTGACATTGCCAGAGCTGCAGCCACAGGGTGGTGAGCACGTGTGACCCCCGGAGGCCGTGAAGGCACCAGCCACCCGGAGGGCAGCCCCGGGGCCACAGGGCCATGCGCAGCACAGCCACCTTCTGCCGGGGCCGCTGGCTTGGGTCCGGCTCGGCCTCCAGCATGTCCTCCAGCACTTGCTGGTGGCTCTTCCACCTGCTGGAGGCTGTGGCCTCCTTGCCAACCCGGGCTGGCTCCACACTGGGCCTGGGCTTCCGGGCGGGCCTCTCTCTGCCAAACACCACCGGGTCCCACAGCTTCAGCCACTTGAGGAGGCAGCGGTTGGTGAACTGTAGAGAGAGGCATGGCCTGGGGGACCACCAGCACCAAGGGGTCCCCTGCCTGCCTTTGAGTCAACCTGTGTCATAAGCCTGGAGACATACACAGGGACACTGAGGCTGAGTGACCAATGACCGACACCTGGACCCCTGCCAGCAAGTGGCAGAGTGGGACTCATGAGTGCCTCCACCCCTGTAACCCTGGCCCTGACCCCTCCCAGCGTGCCCGCCACACCCAGAGGCATCCCAGCTAAGACCCCAGCACGCTGGCCCCCGACTAGCCTTGGTCCCACAGGCGGACCCGAGCCCTTCCCTCCACCCCACAGTCCTGGGGGCCGACAGCATAAAAATGAGCCGGGTCCTGCATCCTTCCCCCTCTTGGCAGCAAAGAAGCCAGTCGCACTCAAGGAGAACAAAGCTCACGTCATCACTGAGCAGCTCTGTGTAGCGCCGGGGCGCGAATGTGTCCACCCAGAGGCAGTGCTGGGACGCAGCTTGGCTGTCCACCGGCTCCCCCTCGGGGGTCCGCAAGGGCTGAGCCTCCTCCTCTCTGAGGCTGGAGAGCAACATGCCCTGAGCTGCCGGGGCCCCGACCCCACGCAGGGACCACATCCCCCACCCCCTGGTTCAGGTGGGAGGTCAGCAGTCCGAGAACCCATGGTGGTTCCAGGGATGGAGGGCCCATGATTTCACCTGTTCAGCGTGTCTGAGAGCCGCTGGGCATCCTCAAACAGTCGCTGCCGCCGCTGTGCCAAAATTAGGGGTTAAGATTGGGGTGGCTTAGCCAGTCACCCCAGAGCTACCCCTCCCCTCCTGGGACACCCTACCTCGCTGTCCACCTGCTCCTTGAGGGAGGTAAAGGACACACCCAGCAGGTTTAGCTGGCCATGGCAGCGCCACTGGACGTCAAAGCTAAGGAGAGGGCTCTGCAGAGAGAGGAAGGCAGCGTCACCCACTCCCAGTCACAGGATTAACCACGGCTCCCTCCCAGCGACGTCAAGGGACCCTGGTGCCCGCCTCTAGCGTCAGCAAGGCGAGGGGTGGAGAGCGCCCACTGTAACCAGAAGCCCCAAGGGAAAAGCACCCCGGGCGGGGGCAGTTCTGGGAGAAGAGAAGGAGGGAAGTAAAAGGGGGGGAAGACTGAAGAGAACGGATGCCTGGAAGCCAGGCGGACGTGAAGGACCCCAGAGTCCCGGAGGGGACCCCGCACTCAGGATCCTTTTCTGCGCAGCATCAAGCCCCCAGGACCCGAAGGAGGGCTACGGGCAACTCCTCGTTCGTGGCCACACGGCACCCACCTGCACCCCAGTGCCCGTGGGGTCGGCCCCCAGCACCAGAAACGCCCGGCTGCCTCCCGTGGAGGTCACGCTGACATAGTCCTCCAGGACTGGGGGCCGCCTCAGAACGGCACCGCGGGTGGCTGGGGAGGCCCGTGTGACCCCCGCGTCTGGGAGCCTGGGAGAAGGCACGGGGCCCCATGAGGACCCTGTCCCACCACCCGCAGAGACGGGGCCCGAGCCCACCCGGGGCACCCGACGCTCCCACAGGCCCCCAGCGCCAGCGCCAGACTGCGTCTGAGGAGCAGGACCCCTCCAAGCCCCCACCCCGTGCCCCAAGCCACACACCCGTCACCCCACAGCTCGTGGGGGGCCTCGGGACTCAGCGGGGGTGTGATGCCCCCAGGGGGGGAGTCGGGAAGGGGCGGCTCTTCCGAGTCATCGGGCCCAAAGTTCAGCCTCTTGACAGCCTCCAGCCTGGGCCGCTTGACTCGGGGGGCTGGGGAGACACGGGAGGAAGGGAGGCACGGCCGCGGCCCCACACCCCACCCTGCGCCGCGGTCCCCTGCGGACGTACTGGGGGGCAGGGGCCCGACCGGCCCGACGTGGGGGTCCAGCGGCCTTTTGGTGGCTGCGCCCTCGCGTGTCCCCGGATGCCCGTCAGGAGAGCGGGGAGCGCCGGCGTCCCCTCCGGCAGCGGCCTCCTGGAGCGCCGGCCGGGGCCGAGCGCCCGCGGGGAGGTACGGGGCCGCCGTCCCTGCGGAGGGAGATTCTAGCAGCCGCCCGCGCCTCCCCTCCCCGGGGAGCCGGCCCGGCCTGCCAGCGCCCACCTTCCAGCTCGGCCAGCACCTCGAGCTCGGCCGCGAACTGGCTGAGGAAATCGTCCCCGGCGCCGCCCGCCGCGCGCCCTGGGTCCCCCATGGCACCCGGACGCCCGCTCCGAACCTCCGCGCCGCTGCGCGCTTTCCCCGCAGGCGTCCAGGCGCCGCCAATCAACGGCCGGCGCGCCCGGCGGCGCTCTCCATTGGTCAGAGGGAGGAAAGGGCTGGGCTGAGGCTGCGCGCGCAGGCAGGGCGGAGCGAGCCGGTGCCCCGGAATCGGCGTGGCCATTGGTAGTCACAGTTGCCCGTCCGTGGCGTGGGCGGGGCCCAGTCGGCGCGCCGGAGTCGGGGCTCCAGGCCCGCGGCGCTCTCCATTGGCCGGCACTGCCGCCCGTCCGCGGCGGGGGCGGGACGGGGGCGGGGCTGCACTCAGCCTGCGGCGCGCGGCAAGGACTCGGGAGGCACTGAGGCTGGAGCCGGGCGGCGGCCCAGGCGCGGAAGGCGACGGCTGCAGGTGGGTCTCGGGGCGTGCGAGGAGCGAGGGCTCGCAGCGGAGCCGTCCGGAGCCGCTCGGCCTGTGCCCGACATTTGCGGCGGGCGGGGGAAGGCGGGGCCTCCGCTGTCCTGCCAGGGGTGCGCGGCCCCCCCCCCCCCGCTCGCTCCGCTCGGCTTCGGAAAGGACCCCGTCGCGCTTCGGGGACCGTCCAGGCAGAGTCCGCTGGGCGGGCCGGGAACAAGACTGCTTCTCCCGCGGCCTGTGCTGCGCGGACACCCCACGGCCAGCCCAGGCGGCCCTGGCTTCCCTGACCCTGGCCAGACGCCCCCAGCTACTGGTTAGGGGTGCGGGTGGACGCCCGGCGGGTCTGCGGGCGTGCCTGACGGGCAGCGGCGGAGGCCGCAGACCAGGGCCCTGGGAAGCGGGGATATGCACCCGGGTGGGCAGGACCCCACTGTGGGCAGGCACCCCATGACACCCGCCCCCCCGCCCCACACACTTGCCGCGCGTGGCAGGCCCTGCCATGGAGCCGGGCAGCATGGAGAACCTGCCCGTCGTGTACCGGAGCCGAGACTTCCTGGTGGTGAACAAGCACTGGGACGTGCGAATCGACAGCAAGGCGTGGCGTGACACGCCGACCCTCCAGGCGCAGCTGCGGCACCATTTCCCGGAGCTGGCCGACCCCGACACCTACTATGGGTTCAGGTACACGGAGCCGGGCCGGCGAGCCCTTTGTGGGGCAGCAGCTGCCCTCAGCCAGCCGCCAGTGACCCTCTGCTCCTGCCAGGTTCTGCCATCAGCTGGACTTCTCCACGAGCGGGGCGCTCTGCGTGGCCCTGAACAAGGCAGCTGCAGGCAGCGCCTACAAGTGCTTCAAGGAGCGACTTGTCACCAAGGCCTACCTCGCTCTGGTAAGGCCTGGCCGACAGTCCCCAAGGAGGAGGGACTTTCAGCCTGGGGAGGCCTGGGTGTCAGGCTGGCTTCTCAGCAGCGGCAGGTGAGCAGCACGGGATCCCCTGCCCGGCAGGTGCGGGGGCACGTCCAGGAAAGCCGGACTACCATCAGTTACGCCATTGGCAAGAGCAGCGCAGAGGGGCGGGCCCACACCATGTGCATCGCGAGCACACAGGGTATGGGGACAGGGGCATCCAGTGGGGGGCGGGAGGGGGGCCTGGGGCCCCAGGACTGCCCAGCCACACCTCACAGCTTGCCTTCACCCCCAGGCTGTGAGAACCCCAAACCAAGCCTCACGGAGCTGGTGGTCTTGGAACACGGGCTGTACTCAGGGGACCCGGTGTCCAAAGTACTGCTGCAGCCCCTCACAGGTGTGTCCAGGGGCTGGGCCAGGAAGCTGCCCAGGTCCCCTCAGGGGCACCCCACCCCTGGCATGGTGAACGTCTGGGGTCAGAGCCTCCTCACGCAGGGCACCGTGGTGTCTCTGCTGTGCAGGAGAGGGTGCCAAGACAGAGTTGCAGAATAGCCTGTCCGGGCCACCCAAGGCCTCCCTGGCAGGGCCGGCCCCCTTCTGCGCACTCAGCCCCATGGCCTGCAGCATCTCACCCCACTCCGGGTTGCACTGGCCTGGATATAAGGGTAGTGAGCAGATGGGCTGGGTCCTCTGGCCCACTGGGTACCACCCCAGCCCGGCCCTGCCCTGCCCTGCCCTGCCCCAAGAGCTGGCTCCTGTTCTGCCGTCCTGCTCCGTACCAGGAAACAGGGCTCCCCACGGGTTACATGAGGCCCTGAGGCCACAGGGAACAGTGCTGGGTATGGCCTGAGTGGGTGGGGGTAAACAGAATGCTGCCCCACCTGACGCTGACCCCACTCCCAGGCCGGACGCACCAGCTGCGAGTACACTGCAGCGCCCTCGGCCACCCAGTCGTGGGGGACCTGACCTATGGGCAGGCCTTGGGCCGAGAGGACCAGCCCTTCCGCATGATGCTGCACGCCTTCTACCTGCGAATCCCCACGCCCACCGAACGTGTGGAGGCCTGCACGCCCGACCCCTTTGTGCCTGCCCTCGATGCCTGCTGGAACCCCCAGACCTTGGTGCAGCCACTGGACCAACTTGTCCAGGCCCTGAGGGCTGCCCCTGACCCTACAGAAGGGGGTCCCAGGCCCGGCAGCCCCTCCACACCTCTGCCTGGACCTGGCCAAACCCCATCACCTCCTGCCAAGCCCCCCGAGACAGAGGCACAGCGGGCCTCATGCCTTCAGTGGCTGTCAGAGTGGACACTGGGACCAGAAAGCTGAGTGCCAGGCTTGGTCGGATGACAGGCTGGGCCCCTAGGCGCTGGGGGCCACCCAAGGCAGGTGTCCCTGTGTGTGGCCCCACCCTGCTGCAGCAGCCAGGACTGGACAGGATCCGGCAGGCGGGGCCAGACACAGATTCCCCAGGAGGGGGCCCCCAGCCCATGCCCCGGAGCACCTGTTCTTCCCGCTCTGCTAGGACCCCACGCCGTCAGCCCAGCCCGGCCGGGCCCTCTGCACTTGCAGACGGCTGGCCCGTTCCGCCCTGCTGGTCCTTCCTTGTGCCTTTGCCTCTGCCGGACTGCCATAGGCCTCGCACCCTGAGCACCGCATTCGGTGGGTCTGGCCCACACGAGCCGTTCCTTGGGAGCTTCTGCAAGCACTGCCCATGGGGTCTCACAGGTGGCTCCCAGTAGCCGTGGGCTGTCAAACCTCAGCCTGGGAGCCAGGGTGTCCAGCCCCCACCTTCTCCATCCCTCCCAGCCCACTGCAGGACCCCTCACAGCCAGGCTCGGTGGAGACTTGGAATAAAAGCGGGGTGGCTGACCCTGTGTAACCATGACATGCCTGGTGTGGGGGCGCCGGGTCCCTGCTCCCCTTTCTGTGCTGTGCAGACCTCTGCCCAGGCCCTCAGCAGGTCCCAGAATTCACCTGCTGTGCTGTGCCCACCAGTGAGCACCCTGCAGCCCACTGAAACCTCAGGGCCCCTCCCGGAGCCACTGCCCCCCACACCAGCCTTAGGCCCCTGCCAGTATCTCAGGACATGCCAGGACCCTGTGCCTGGTCAGGCAGTCACCTCATTCCTGCTGTGGGGCTCCTGGACCTGCCCCGCCTGTGGTTCCTGCAGATCTCAGCTGCAGTGGAGCCAGAGGCTTCTGTAGAGACCCAGGCCCCTGCACCCCTGTAACAGGAGGGTCCCTGGGTGACAGGGTGCCCATAGCAGCAGAGGGAAGCTATGATGTGCCCAGATGACCTTTCTCGCCAGCTGGGGGCCTGATAGGACCCCATCCTGGTTCAGCCCACCAAGCTCCAGAGGTCACACTGGCGGCGGCCCCCACCTGGGGCACATGACCTCACTGAGACCTGCCCTGCTCCCCACCACCTCCATGCCTTCTCCACAGTTGCTTATCCACCATCATGCCCACTGCTGCCACCACACGGGGTCACTGCTGAGCCCGGGTCCTGCTCTGTCCTCTGTGGCCTGCAGTGACTTGGAAGTCCTGTGTCCCTATTCCCCTGGACCCGCCAAGTTGCTTCCCACCTGCTGGCATCTCTCGGGGTCTGGGCCCAGGGACTGGGGCTGAGTCAGGGCCACCTGACAGCTCTTCCTCCCAGGGGCTCACACACACACCACCCCCACTGCCACAGAACGTCCCAAAGGGTGGCCAGGTCTCCTTTCCTGTCCCCCAGTGACTGGCCCTGTGTGAGGAAGGCTGGGGGCTCCCTCTGTGGCTGCCTGGGGCAGAGGGCCTGAACTCCGAGAATATCGATCATGCCAGCAAAGGGAAGCACCTGTCTCCAGGCTGCCTTGCAGAGCCCACCAAGGAGTCCAGCAGCCCCTTTCAGGGGCCAAGTCGGATGCTTTCACCAGATGGGCCACTCAGTGCCCTCCATGCAGGCCCTTCTAGAACTGGGAGCAGGGCCAGCTACCCAGCCTCACTGCTGTCCTTCCCACACCAGGCCCCAGGAAGCTGCCCGTGAGGCTGGGGAATAGGGCAGCCCACCCACCTACCCTTCACATCTGCAGCCAAGGCCCAGCCCCACTCCCCGGCAGGACTGCCTCAGACCCAGTGGGAGCATGAAGGTGCAGCCCCCGTATGGGCTGCGATGCCCTGGCTCCAGCCAACCGCCCAGTGCCAGGTGGCTGGGAGGCACCAGGAGGTCGGCCACGGGATTGGCGGCCCTTGGGGGCCTCGCCACCCGCAGGATGGGGACTCCCGGCCAGGGTGGGGCCTGCAGGACAGCAGAGAGCCCTGGTCCGGACATGCTGGCCCGGCTTGGGGCCCACAGGCCAAGCCTGAAGCAGGCAGCCAGGTGGCTGCACAGGCAGGCAGGAAGCCGTGGAAGGAGGGAAGGCAGGGTGACAGGGTGGCCAAGGGCCCAGGTAGGTACTGCCCCACTGCCGGCCCAGCTGCCCCCCTGAAAAGCCCCATCGGCCTCTGGAGACCCCCAGGACTCAGAGAGCCACCCACCAGTCACAGCCACGCCCACTCCCTGCAGCGGGCTGCATCCGCCTGCGCTGTGGCCCTTGGGCTCAGACACAGGGCCCTCAGCCCACCCACCCCTCACCCTGGCTGCGGGTAGGCAGCTTGGGAGGGCGTAGGAATCGGGCAGTTTCCTGGTGGAGGATGGCAAGCACTCAACAGGCAGGGCTCGGCCCAGGGAAAGCATGGTGCAGGCCCATGCTGGGCCAGCTCCTGGGGCACATGAGCCGGTAGGCGCCACCCCAGTGATGCTGGAAGGCCCGGAGCACACACGGGCACCCAGCCCTGCCCTGCCACAGGGGCCCATCCAGCGGTCCCACACCCCACTCGGTGCTGTATGGCCATGAGCAAGTCACTCAGCCCCTCTGTTTCCCCATCTTTAAGATGGGTGATGTGGCTGTGGGGTTCAGTGAGACTAGACTGGAGACCTGGGGGCAGGCTGTGACTCTCCACAGCCCAGCAACTGCTCTGTTCTGCGGTCTGTCTGGCCTGGGCCTGGGGCTGCCCTAGAGGCCGAGCCTGCAGCCGGCTGGCCAACATCTGGTCTCCTGCACATGTGGGCCTTTTCCTGCTCCCGCCACCCGCTAGCCTGTGGGGAGCCCTCTCCAGCCCCACCCGAGGGGCCCTGGGGTGGTGGAGACCACACTATCGAGTGACTTCCCCCCTTCCCCCACGCACCTCATCTGTGGAAAACGCTTCCAGCTTCCATGGGCATCTAGCCCAGGAGGACAGAGGCTCACACCCAGGTCCTATGTACCCTCCTGGCCCACAGCACACACGTGGACGTGCATGCCTGGTTCAGAGCTCTAGCACCTGAAGAAAGAAACACCACGCGTGCTGCTAGACCCTGTTCCACATTGGGTCCACGTGTGCCAAATACTCTGCAGAGGGTGTGCACGTCACACGTGCACATAGATGTATGTACACACAGTGCGGGAAGACACGCGCGCACACAGCTCAGGTGTGGAGGGGTGTGCACTGGGCAGCCGCCAACTGTGAGCTCAGCCTCCCACACCCCCGGGGCTGGGGAGCAGGTGCCTGCTGTGCCAGGGGCCCCAGAGGCTGACAGCAGCATCACCTGGCGCAGCACCGGCCCCTCCCCTCCCCTACGCATCCGTCTGGAGGACGTCGCTGCAGCAGCGTGTGGCAGAGTGCTGTGTGAGGGGGCCATGGAGGGGAGCGAGGACACCAGCGTCCCTGCCCTGCCACACCCCTGTGTGCCGGCGCCCAGCTGCAGGGGCTGATGGGCTTGGCGGTCTGGACCCCTGGTATCCGCAGCACTGGGCGCCTGGTCTACTTCCCCTGGATGCAACAGCTGTTGGGACCCAGAGCAGCTTGCCTCGGCCGCAGACAGTTGCACGCAGGTGAGGGATGGGAGGCGGGAGGGGAGCACCACCAGCTGGAGCCACGGGGCCCCGGCTGTGAGCCTAGCCTCTGTGCAGCCCCGGCAGGCAGCTGATCCCCTTGGAGCCTGTTTGTCCCCTGCAGTGGGCGGTAGCTCCCAGGCATGCCTTCTGGGCCGTGCAGGGTCCAGAAGCCCACGGCACCTTGAGTTGTCAGACTGCAAGGATACCCAATGCCCTTGCCTCCCAGGACCCACATCTTGGTCCCTAGGGTTGGTCTGCACCCGGCCAGGGCTGCCGGGGGCTGTGGCCTGGGTCTGAGGCCCTTGAGGAGGGAACTGCCAGGGCAGCCCAGGCATGGGGGAAAAGCCACAAGACCTCCCCTCCCAGCTGCCTGCGGGAACTCTCCAGCAAGGCGGCCCCAGCCTGGGTAGCTGTTGGAGACACGTAGCCCGCGGGTCTCCTGAGCCCCAACCTGTGATAAGAAAGGCCCTGGGATTTGGCCTGGCTCCCCCCCGCCCCTCCCCAAAGACGCATTGTTTGTGGGGTGTGCTCCTCCCCAAAGACAGGAGCTGCAGCTGCAGCCTGCAGCCGGATTGCCCACCGGGCATGGCGCCTACCTGCATGACCCTGGACCTCTGTGCCTGTGCTGAGGTGAAGGGGGGGCGGCCCCATCACCTCCTATCTCCTCTCCAGCTTGCCCTGGACCCACTGTCTGTGACCCCAGCACCCTGCTGCCAGGAAAACTGCCACACACCACATAGCCATGGGCCGCAGAGCAGGTGAGATGACGGGGCTGGGACAGCGGAGCCCCTGCATCACGACAGACGTGAGGGTCCTTGTGCTCTCACGCCCAACCCCCTGAGCCTGAACTGAGCCCTGCCCCAGGGAACCCCATCTGCTGGGGGTCAGGGACGGGAAGGAAGAGGGCAGGGCTGGCACAGTCCAGGCTAGGCCAGGGTGTCCTGGAGGGGACGAGCCACGGACAAGGGGTGGCCAGAACTGGGAGGGGGTCGGGAGGGGATGGCGGCTGACTCCAGTCCCGCTGTCAGGGGGTCTCAGGGCCCAGATAGTGAGGACAGAGCCTGGGAGGGTGAGGGGTGGGAGGAGGCATTTACACGTGACACACCAGCCAGGTGCACACGCATGGGCACACACTGCACACATGTATGTCACCACATGTGTGGGCATTTAGTACAGGCCATTACATATGTGTGTGCATTCTTCCAGACCCACACTCAGGCACACACCACCAGCTACAGATGCACACACATGATTTGTGCACACTGCCATCCCACCTGACACACACGGGTGCCCCACTGCACACATGCATACCCCATCTTGTGTGTACATACCATTCGTGCTAGACAGATATGCCTACAGTCAGACACCCTGTCACACACAACACGTTCACCCAGTCAGACACACACACGCGTTCACACCACACTACAGCCAGGCTGGCCTACCCAGGTGACCAGGGCCGTGTGATCTCCATGCGGGGGCAGTCAGAAGTGCGCTGGGGGCATGTGGGAGCCCTGGCAGGCCCACGCTGGGTGCCTCACACCCACACCCACCAGGTAGGGCTGGGGCTACCCACAGCCGGTTCCATTCCAGGTGGCTTGGTGAGCCCTGGCCTCACCCTCCTCGTGTGGCTCACTGCCCACTGCCCTCGTCCCCAGGGAGAGTCGGACGCCAGCAGGGCTGACCTGTGGGCCAGGTGAGTACCAGCCCCCACTGCCGCTCCCAGCGCACAGCCCATTTCCTGTGGCTGGGGCGGCGAACCATGTCCGGGGCTGCACACGGCGGCCAAGGTGCGGCCATGGCGGGGCACCCTCTCCCAGCTCCGGCCGGTGGGGCCCTGGCCGTGCCAGCCCCTCTCACTGACCTTTTCCCTGCATGGCCCAGCTGCCACAGGTGGCAGAGCCAGGGTCCCCCGTGCCCCCCACTGCTCCTGAGTCCTCTCTGCTCCCTTCCTTCTGCCCCAGGGCTCTGTTGGCCTCTCAGTCCCCAGACTCGGTCATTTCCAGGCACTGCCGGGGGGCGGGGGGGTCTCACATGTGGGCTCCGCCATCCTCCCCTTCTTGGGGGTTGCAGGTCATCGATCAGCCGTCAGTCAATTGATCAGTCTCTTGACCCATCCAGCGGGGCTGGAGCTCAAGTTGGACCAGCCAGGCCCAGGATAAAGTTCCATGAGACCCCTTCCCATGGCAGGTGCCTGGGCCACATGTCCTCCAAATCCCCAGCCATCACTGGGACTGTGGAGCCCGCTGGCACTTGGCCTCGGGAGCCTGGGCAGGGGCCACGTTTGAGCCCAGCTCATGGCTCAGAGCCTGGCACCAGCCGGTGCTCGTGCAGGGGGAGTGCACGGGTGAGGCAGGAGCCCCGGCACCCTGCCACATTTTGCAAGTCTCATGCCCTCCGCACTAGGAAGTCTGGCCTCCATCCCACGTGTACAGGCTAAGCCGCCCCTCACCGCTGCCTCCCTTCCACATAGTGCCAACACCTCCATCCTGCAAGGCTTCTGGTGCCAGCCGGCCAGCCAGCTGCCCCGGGACCAGCTTTCGGCTCTCATCAGGAGGGTGGACCCACAGCAGGCGCCCCTCAAAGCCTGGCAGGTGAGTGGCTGTGGCTAGGGAGATTGGGCTGGGGTGTCGGGGTGTCGGGGGCAACGGCAGGCTCCCCAGAGGGGGCCAGGAGGCAGGCAGGAAGGGAGGGCATCCCCAGCAAGGATGCGGGCCAGCCAGGGTTGGGCCCGGGTAGCTTGGTCGCAGAACGAGCCGGGCAGAGCGCAGAGGGCCGCGCTGGGGGCCCCGCAGGTGGCCGTCTCTGAGCCAGCGCGGACCTCGCAGCGGCCTCAGAGGTCTCCTAGGCGAGCCCCACCTGACGTGCGGCTGGCCCCTAAGGCTGTCTCCCCTTCCTCCAGCATGGCCCACTTTGGACCATTTCCACAACTTCTGGCCAATTGTCCTCAGACCCCCTCCTCCCGTCTGGCTCGGGTGAGGCCTTGTCCACCAGGCCTGTGCTGGCCCCTTCCTGCCTCCGTCTGGCACACCGTGGCGGGTCCTCCACACCCCCAGGGGGGGCCTTGCAGCCCACGGCCCCTCCCCAACCTGGGCTTCGAGAGAAGCTGCCTGAGCCCACCTTGGCCCATGCTGACCCAAGCATTGCCTGCTCCTGAGTTTAAAACAAGGAAAAAAAGAAAAGCTATCATTCTGTCTAAATATAAAGTTAGTAATAAATCTGAAACAACCCTAAAGCCGGCCAAGTCAGACAAGTGGAAGCAGGGGTGGCATTGGTGTAAACAGGCCCTCTGTGAGCCGCCGCAGTGCAGGGGGCTGGGGGTGGGCAAGAGGGTCTGGATGCTGTGGGGCGGGGGTTCCAGCCAGGCTTGACTGTTCCCCAAGGCTGGCCCTGATGTTGGGGTGGTCTGGGGGAGGAAGACACGAGGTCCAGGTGGCAGAGGGCAGGCCAGGGAGGCCCCTTGCTGACCTGATGGGGGAGGAGGTGGGCGGGCCCCAGGCCAGTGAGGGAGTGACACCCACCGTCCCTGCCCAGCTCAGCTGCCTGGCCAACCTGGCCACCTGGCATGGCCTCCAGGATGACTTCGCACTCCACCCCCCCGACCTGCTGCTCTTCTACAAGTGAGTAACCCCGAGTCTGGGCTGGAGCAGGCTGAGCACGCCTCCCCTGCAGTCCCGGGGACACCGGGCCACCCCAGAGGACCCCCAGCTGGGCCCTGCCCTCCTGCCAGCCCCCCGACCCACCCACAGCCTGACACAGGTGAGGAAAGCTGACCGCCGGGCCTTCACACGCCGCGCCGCCCAGGGGCACACGGAGCTGCTGGCCAACCTGCCGGACCAGAGGGCTGCCCTGCAGCGTATGGCCCTGGCCTGCCTGGTAGGGCAGGCCAGGATGGGAGGGAGGGCAGGTGTGGGGGCCGGCCCACGTTGACCAGCTGTCCCACAGGGGGGGCCACACCCCCGGCTCAGCGCCTCTGACCTGATGTTCCTTGGAGTCCTGGTGTGCGACCTGGATGCATCCCACCTCGTGGCCGCAGACCCCTGCGTGCTTCAGAGTCTGCAGCGCTGCCCCCGGCTGACCACCACCCAGCAAGCTGCCCTCAACACGCTACTGGCCAGTGGGAGGACCACGCTTGGGTGGGCAGGGGCGGGCAGCCTCCACCCAGGCCTCCCCTCCTCAGAATGAGACAGGCGACCGCCTGGGAGTGGGCCCAGGAGGTTGCAGATGTTGACTTTGGACCTCTGACCCCAGTGCACAGCCCCATTCTGACCCTGCAGCCTTTGGAGCACAGGTTTAGGGGTACTGGCCCCACAGTTCCCCTCTCCTGACATCTGGGGTTGGGGAGTCAGCTGGGCAGCCCGGGAACTGTGTGCTCAGGAAGGGTAGGCAGCGTCCAGGGGCTGGGCACTGCTGGGCCCCAACACAGTCCCCACTTCCCACACACCAGGCCCCCGGGCTCCTGGAACGTCGAGGGGTTGCAGGCTCTGGGACCCCTGGCCACCTACATCAGCCCTGGTCTGTGGGTGCAGGTTCGGGAGGTAAGACTGCGTGCTGGGCTGGGCAGCCAGAGTGCAGGGGTGCGGAGGTGCAGGGGGCGGGCGTCGGCATGGACAAGCCTGAGGGCAGGCCTTGTGGGCTCCTGTCTGTGGGGCGGGAGCNCCCAGCCCGGCCGGGCCCTCTGCACTTGCAGACGGCTGGCCCGTTCCGCCCTGCTGGTCCTTCCTTGTGCCTTTGCCTCTGCCGGACTGCCATAGGCCTCGCACCCTGAGCACCGCATTCGGTGGGTCTGGCCCACACGAGCCGTTCCTTGGGAGCTTCTGCAAGCACTGCCCATGGGGTCTCACAGGTGGCTCCCAGTAGCCATGGGCTGTCAAACCTCAGCCTGGGAGCCAGGGTGTCCAGCCCCCACCTTCTCCATCCCTCCCAGCCCACTGCAGGACCCCTCACAGCCAGGCTCGGTGGAGACTTGGAATAAAAGCGGGGTGGCTGACCCTGTGTAACCATGACATGCCTGGTGTGGGGGCGCCGGGTCCCTGCTCCCCTTTCTGTGCTGTGCAGACCTCTGCCCAGGCCCTCAGCAGGTCCCAGAATTCACCTGCTGTGCTGTGCCCACCAGTGAGCACCCTGCAGCCCACTGAAACCTCAGGGCCCCTCCCGGAGCCACTGCCCCCCACACCAGCCTTAGGCCCCTGCCAGTATCTCAGGACATGCCAGGACCCTGTGCCTGGTCAGGCAGTCACCTCATTCCTGCTGTGGGGCTCCTGGACCTGCCCCGCCTGTGGTTCCTGCAGATCTCAGCTGCAGTGGAGCCAGAGGCTTCTGTAGAGACCCAGGCCCCTGCACCCCTGTAACAGGAGGGTCCCTGGGTGACAGGGTGCCCATAGCAGCAGAGGGAAGCTATGATGTGCCCAGATGACCTTTCTCGCCAGCTGGGGGCCTGATAGGACCCCATCCTGGTTCAGCCCACCAAGCTCCAGAGGTCACACTGGCGGCGGCCCCCACCTGGGGCACATGACCTCACTGAGACCTGCCCTGCTCCCCACCACCTCCATGCCTTCTCCACAGTTGCTTATCCACCATCATGCCCACTGCTGCCACCACACGGGGTCACTGCTGAGCCCGGGTCCTGCTCTGTCCTCTGTGGCCTGCAGTGACTTGGAAGTCCTGTGTCCCTATTCCCCTGGACCCGCCAAGTTGCTTCCCACCTGCTGGCATCTCTCGGGGTCTGGGCCCAGGGACTGGGGCTGAGTCAGGGCCACCTGACAGCTCTTCCTCCCAGGGGCTCACACACACACCACCCCCACTGCCACAGAACGTCCCAAAGGGTGGCCAGGTCTCCTTTCCTGTCCCCCAGTGACTGGCCCTGTGTGAGGAAGGCTGGGGGCTCCCTCTGTGGCTGCCTGGGGCAGAGGGCCTGAACTCCGAGAATATCGATCATGCCAGCAAAGGGAAGCACCTGTCTCCAGGCTGCCTTGCAGAGCCCACCAAGGAGTCCAGCAGCCCCTTTCAGGGGCCAAGTCGGATGCTTTCACCAGATGGGCCACTCAGTGCCCTCCATGCAGGCCCTTCTAGAACTGGGAGCAGGGCCAGCTACCCAGCCTCACTGCTGTCCTTCCCACACCAGGCCCCAGGAAGCTGCCCGTGAGGCTGGGGAATAGGGCAGCCCACCCACCTACCCTTCACATCTGCAGCCAAGGCCCAGCCCCACTCCCCGGCAGGACTGCCTCAGACCCAGTGGGAGCATGAAGGTGCAGCCCCCGTATGGGCTGCGATGCCCTGGCTCCAGCCAACCGCCCAGTGCCAGGTGGCTGGGAGGCACCAGGAGGTCGGCCACGGGATTGGCGGCCCTTGGGGGCCTCGCCACCCGCAGGATGGGGACTCCCGGCCAGGGTGGGGCCTGCAGGACAGCAGAGAGCCCTGGTCCGGACATGCTGGCCCGGCTTGGGGCCCACAGGCCAAGCCTGAAGCAGGCAGCCAGGTGGCTGCACAGGCAGGCAGGAAGCCGTGGAAGGAGGGAAGGCAGGGTGACAGGGTGGCCAAGGGCCCAGGTAGGTACTGCCCCACTGCCGGCCCAGCTGCCCCCCTGAAAAGCCCCATCGGCCTCTGGAGACCCCCAGGACTCAGAGAGCCACCCACCAGTCACAGCCACGCCCACTCCCTGCAGCGGGCTGCATCCGCCTGCGCTGTGGCCCTTGGGCTCAGACACAGGGCCCTCAGCCCACCCACCCCACACCCTGGCTGCGGGTAGGCAGCTTGGGAGGGCGTAGGAATCGGGCAGTTTCCTGGTGGAGGATGGCAAGCACTCAACAGGCAGGGCTCGGCCCAGGGAAAGCATGGTGCAGGCCCATGCTGGGCCAGCTCCTGGGGCACATGAGCCGGTAGGCGCCACCCCAGTGATGCTGGAAGGCCCGGAGCACACACGGGCACCCAGCCCTGCCCTGCCACAGGGGCCCATCCAGCGGTCCCACACCCCACTCGGTGCTGTATGGCCATGAGCAAGTCACTCAGCCCCTCTGTTTCCCCATCTTTAAGATGGGTGATGTGGCTGTGGGGTTCAGTGAGACTAGACTGGAGACCTGGGGGCAGGCTGTGACTCTCCACAGCCCAGCAACTGCTCTGTTCTGCGGTCTGTCTGGCCTGGGCCTGGGGCTGCCCTAGAGGCCGAGCCTGCAGCCGGCTGGCCAACATCTGGTCTCCTGCACATGTGGGCCTTTTCCTGCTCCCGCCACCCGCTAGCCTGTGGGGAGCCCTCTCCAGCCCCACCCGAGGGGCCCTGGGGTGGTGGAGACCACACTATCGAGTGACTTCCCCCCTTCCCCCACGCACCTCATCTGTGGAAAACGCTTCCAGCTTCCATGGGCATCTAGCCCAGGAGGACAGAGGCTCACACCCAGGTCCTATGTACCCTCCTGGCCCACAGCACACACGTGGACGTGCATGCCTGGTTCAGAGCTCTAGCACCTGAAGAAAGAAACACCACGCGTGCTGCTAGACCCTGTTCCACATTGGGTCCACGTGTGCCAAATACTCTGCAGAGGGTGTGCACGTCACACGTGCACATAGATGTATGTACACACAGTGCGGGAAGACACGCGCGCACACAGCTCAGGTGTGGAGGGGTGTGCACTGGGCAGCCGCCAACTGTGAGCTCAGCCTCCCACACCCCCGGGGCTGGGGAGCAGGTGCCTGCTGTGCCAGGGGCCCCAGAGGCTGACAGCAGCATCACCTGGCGCAGCACCGGCCCCTCCCCTCCCCTACGCATCCGTCTGGAGGACGTCGCTGCAGCAGCGTGTGGCAGAGTGCTGTGTGAGGGGGCCATGGAGGGGAGCGAGGACACCAGCGTCCCTGCCCTGCCACACCCCTGTGTGCCGGCGCCCAGCTGCAGGGGCTGATGGGCTTGGCGGTCTGGACCCCTGGTATCCGCAGCACTGGGCGCCTGGTCTACTTCCCCTGGATGCAACAGCTGTTGGGACCCAGAGCAGCTTGCCTCGGCCGCAGACAGTTGCACGCAGGTGAGGGATGGGAGGCGGGAGGGGAGCACCACCAGCTGGAGCCACGGGGCCCCGGCTGTGAGCCTAGCCTCTGTGCAGCCCCGGCAGGCAGCTGATCCCCTTGGAGCCTGTTTGTCCCCTGCAGTGGGCGGTAGCTCCCAGGCATGCCTTCTGGGCCGTGCAGGGTCCAGAAGCCCACGGCACCTTGAGTTGTCAGACTGCAAGGATACCCAATGCCCTTGCCTCCCAGGACCCACATCTTGGTCCCTAGGGTTGGTCTGCACCCGGCCAGGGCTGCCGGGGGCTGTGGCCTGGGTCTGAGGCCCTTGAGGAGGGAACTGCCAGGGCAGCCCAGGCATGGGGGAAAAGCCACAAGACCTCCCCTCCCAGCTGCCTGCGGGAACTCTCCAGCAAGGCGGCCCCAGCCTGGGTAGCTGTTGGAGACACGTAGCCCGCGGGTCTCCTGAGCCCCAACCTGTGATAAGAAAGGCCCTGGGATTTGGCCTGGCTCCCCCCCGCCCCTCCCCAAAGACGCATTGTTTGTGGGGTGTGCTCCTCCCCAAAGACAGGAGCTGCAGCTGCAGCCTGCAGCCGGATTGCCCACCGGGCATGGCGCCTACCTGCATGACCCTGGACCTCTGTGCCTGTGCTGAGGTGAAGGGGGGGCGGCCCCATCACCTCCTATCTCCTCTCCAGCTTGCCCTGGACCCACTGTCTGTGACCCCAGCACCCTGCTGCCAGGAAAACTGCCACACACCACATAGCCATGGGCCGCAGAGCAGGTGAGATGACGGGGCTGGGACAGCGGAGCCCCTGCATCACGACAGACGTGAGGGTCCTTGTGCTCTCACGCCCAACCCCCTGAGCCTGAACTGAGCCCTGCCCCAGGGAACCCCATCTGCTGGGGGTCAGGGACGGGAAGGAAGAGGGCAGGGCTGGCACAGTCCAGGCTAGGCCAGGGTGTCCTGGAGGGGACGAGCCACGGACAAGGGGTGGCCAGAACTGGGAGGGGGTCGGGAGGGGATGGCGGCTGACTCCAGTCCCGCTGTCAGGGGGTCTCAGGGCCCAGATAGTGAGGACAGAGCCTGGGAGGGTGAGGGGTGGGAGGAGGCATTTACACGTGACACACCAGCCAGGTGCACACGCATGGGCACACACTGCACACATGTATGTCACCACATGTGTGGGCATTTAGTACAGGCCATTACATATGTGTGTGCATTCTTCCAGACCCACACTCAGGCACACACCACCAGCTACAGATGCACACACATGATTTGTGCACACTGCCATCCCACCTGACACACACGGGTGCCCCACTGCACACATGCATACCCCATCTTGTGTGTACATACCATTCGTGCTAGACAGATATGCCTACAGTCAGACACCCTGTCACACACAACACGTTCACCCAGTCAGACACACACACGCGTTCACACCACACTACAGCCAGGCTGGCCTACCCAGGTGACCAGGGCCGTGTGATCTCCATGCGGGGGCAGTCAGAAGTGCGCTGGGGGCATGTGGGAGCCCTGGCAGGCCCACGCTGGGTGCCTCACACCCACACCCACCAGGTAGGGCTGGGGCTACCCACAGCCGGTTCCATTCCAGGTGGCTTGGTGAGCCCTGGCCTCACCCTCCTCGTGTGGCTCACTGCCCACTGCCCTCGTCCCCAGGGAGAGTCGGACGCCAGCAGGGCTGACCTGTGGGCCAGGTGAGTACCAGCCCCCACTGCCGCTCCCAGCGCACAGCCCATTTCCTGTGGCTGGGGCGGCGAACCATGTCCGGGGCTGCACACGGCGGCCAAGGTGCGGCCATGGCGGGGCACCCTCTCCCAGCTCCGGCCGGTGGGGCCCTGGCCGTGCCAGCCCCTCTCACTGACCTTTTCCCTGCATGGCCCAGCTGCCACAGGTGGCAGAGCCAGGGTCCCCCGTGCCCCCCACTGCTCCTGAGTCCTCTCTGCTCCCTTCCTTCTGCCCCAGGGCTCTGTTGGCCTCTCAGTCCCCAGACTCGGTCATTTCCAGGCACTGCCGGGGGGCGGGGGGGTCTCACATGTGGGCTCCGCCATCCTCCCCTTCTTGGGGGTTGCAGGTCATCGATCAGCCGTCAGTCAATTGATCAGTCTCTTGACCCATCCAGCGGGGCTGGAGCTCAAGTTGGACCAGCCAGGCCCAGGATAAAGTTCCATGAGACCCCTTCCCATGGCAGGTGCCTGGGCCACATGTCCTCCAAATCCCCAGCCATCACTGGGACTGTGGAGCCCGCTGGCACTTGGCCTCGGGAGCCTGGGCAGGGGCCACGTTTGAGCCCAGCTCATGGCTCAGAGCCTGGCACCAGCCGGTGCTCGTGCAGGGGGAGTGCACGGGTGAGGCAGGAGCCCCGGCACCCTGCCACATTTTGCAAGTCTCATGCCCTCCGCACTAGGAAGTCTGGCCTCCATCCCACGTGTACAGGCTAAGCCGCCCCTCACCGCTGCCTCCCTTCCACATAGTGCCAACACCTCCATCCTGCAAGGCTTCTGGTGCCAGCCGGCCAGCCAGCTGCCCCGGGACCAGCTTTCGGCTCTCATCAGGAGGGTGGACCCACAGCAGGCGCCCCTCAAAGCCTGGCAGGTGAGTGGCTGTGGCTAGGGAGATTGGGCTGGGGTGTCGGGGTGTCGGGGGCAACGGCAGGCTCCCCAGAGGGGGCCAGGAGGCAGGCAGGAAGGGAGGGCATCCCCAGCAAGGATGCGGGCCAGCCAGGGTTGGGCCCGGGTAGCTTGGTCGCAGAACGAGCCGGGCAGAGCGCAGAGGGCCGCGCTGGGGGCCCCGCAGGTGGCCGTCTCTGAGCCAGCGCGGACCTCGCAGCGGCCTCAGAGGTCTCCTAGGCGAGCCCCACCTGACGTGCGGCTGGCCCCTAAGGCTGTCTCCCCTTCCTCCAGCATGGCCCACTTTGGACCATTTCCACAACTTCTGGCCAATTGTCCTCAGACCCCCTCCTCCCGTCTGGCTCGGGTGAGGCCTTGTCCACCAGGCCTGTGCTGGCCCCTTCCTGCCTCCGTCTGGCACACCGTGGCGGGTCCTCCACACCCCCAGGGGGGGCCTTGCAGCCCACGGCCCCTCCCCAACCTGGGCTTCGAGAGAAGCTGCCTGAGCCCACCTTGGCCCATGCTGACCCAAGCATTGCCTGCTCCTGAGTTTAAAACAAGGAAAAAAAGAAAAGCTATCATTCTGTCTAAATATAAAGTTAGTAATAAATCTGAAACAACCCTAAAGCCGGCCAAGTCAGACAAGTGGAAGCAGGGGTGGCATTGGTGTAAACAGGCCCTCTGTGAGCCGCCGCAGTGCAGGGGGCTGGGGGTGGGCAAGAGGGTCTGGATGCTGTGGGGCGGGGGTTCCAGCCAGGCTTGACTGTTCCCCAAGGCTGGCCCTGATGTTGGGGTGGTCTGGGGGAGGAAGACACGAGGTCCAGGTGGCAGAGGGCAGGCCAGGGAGGCCCCTTGCTGACCTGATGGGGGAGGAGGTGGGCGGGCCCCAGGCCAGTGAGGGAGTGACACCCACCGTCCCTGCCCAGCTCAGCTGCCTGGCCAACCTGGCCACCTGGCATGGCCTCCAGGATGACTTCGCACTCCACCCCCCCGACCTGCTGCTCTTCTACAAGTGAGTAACCCCGAGTCTGGGCTGGAGCAGGCTGAGCACGCCTCCCCTGCAGTCCCGGGGACACCGGGCCACCCCAGAGGACCCCCAGCTGGGCCCTGCCCTCCTGCCAGCCCCCCGACCCACCCACAGCCTGACACAGGTGAGGAAAGCTGACCGCCGGGCCTTCACACGCCGCGCCGCCCAGGGGCACACGGAGCTGCTGGCCAACCTGCCGGACCAGAGGGCTGCCCTGCAGCGTATGGCCCTGGCCTGCCTGGTAGGGCAGGCCAGGATGGGAGGGAGGGCAGGTGTGGGGGCCGGCCCACGTTGACCAGCTGTCCCACAGGGGGGGCCACACCCCCGGCTCAGCGCCTCTGACCTGATGTTCCTTGGAGTCCTGGTGTGCGACCTGGATGCATCCCACCTCGTGGCCGCAGACCCCTGCGTGCTTCAGAGTCTGCAGCGCTGCCCCCGGCTGACCACCACCCAGCAAGCTGCCCTCAACACGCTACTGGCCAGTGGGAGGACCACGCTTGGGTGGGCAGGGGCGGGCAGCCTCCACCCAGGCCTCCCCTCCTCAGAATGAGACAGGCGACCGCCTGGGAGTGGGCCCAGGAGGTTGCAGATGTTGACTTTGGACCTCTGACCCCAGTGCACAGCCCCATTCTGACCCTGCAGCCTTTGGAGCACAGGTTTAGGGGTACTGGCCCCACAGTTCCCCTCTCCTGACATCTGGGGTTGGGGAGTCAGCTGGGCAGCCCGGGAACTGTGTGCTCAGGAAGGGTAGGCAGCGTCCAGGGGCTGGGCACTGCTGGGCCCCAACACAGTCCCCACTTCCCACACACCAGGCCCCCGGGCTCCTGGAACGTCGAGGGGTTGCAGGCTCTGGGACCCCTGGCCACCTACATCAGCCCTGGCCTGTGGGTGCAGGTTCGGGAGGTAAGACTGCGTGCTGGGCTGGGCAGCCAGAGTGCAGGGGTGCGGAGGTGCAGGGGGCGGGCGTCGGCATGGACAAGCCTGAGGGCAGGCCTTGTGGGCTCCTGTCTGTGGGGCGGGAGCTGACGGTCCCTCCCCAGGGTGCGGGGTCTCCATGCCCATCCTGCCAGGTCGTGGGCCTGGACTTCTTTGGCAGCATGGTGGCCATGTGCCGGGAGGGCCAGCTCAGCCAACACGATGCCAGGCGCTTCGTCACAGGCTTCCTGGAGGCCCAGGCCAAGGCGGCGACCCTCCGGCCCAAGCGAGGCACAGGTCAGTGTGGCCACCATGGCTGGGCTGCACCCCTCCCTGCTCTGGACTGCTGGCCCCAGGGTGGGGCACCTGAGACAGGTGAGGACCTCCTGAGCATGGCCTTCCTGACCACAGCCCAGGGTCTGCGTCCAGCCTTGGGGGAGTGGGAGTCCAGTGAGGCCGGGGTTAGGAGTCAAGGTCAAGGTCAGTACCAAGTTCTTGGCTGGGCATCAAGCTTGGGGAGAGAGTCAGAGAGGCCCACCAAGGTCAGGAGAGAGGTGAGGCCCTAGGTGCGCAGCTCCCTAACACCGCCTCCCTGCCCCCAGCCACAGGGAACCCCTGCACCCGCGACAGCATCTCAGCAGCCACGCTGCGCGACGACCTCTTCCTGGTGCGCTACAGCTGCTCACAGCTCGAGGGCTGCCTGGGTGGCCATGTGCTCAGGGCCAACCTGGAGCCCCTGCTGCAGCAGCCCCTGCCCGCCGAGTGCCAGCGCGTCATCAAGGCCAAGCTGGCTCGAGTGCGCGGGGGTGAGCTCGGGAGGGGGCGGGTGGGCAGGCACCGGACGCGGCCTGACCCTCGCCTCGCTGGCCTCAGATCTACCCGAGTGGGGTCCCCGAGGAGCAGCTGCGGGTCATCGCCTCGCTGGTGTACCTCTACTCCCGTGCCGAGATCGGCCAGTGGAACATCACCTCCAGAGACACAGTCACGGCCCTGCTGGCCCCCGACGTGGCCCTGGACAACCAGACCGAGGTGAGGGCGGCAGGGGGCTGGTGGGGGGCCTACCGACCCGGCCCCACTGATGCAGCCCCATCCCCAGGCTGTGCTGCAGAAGTTCCTGGACCATAACGGCACCCTCACCGGGCCCCTGCTCATAGCCATCGGGGGTGCCCGTCTCTGCTGGATGAGCCCCCTGCAGATCCAGGCCATCAGGGCCTCGGAGTTCCGGTGAGCCTGCCACCCACACCCTGGAGTCAGCTCCATGCCTCAGCCACGGAAGGTCAGGGGGGGCCCAGGCCGGGCCCCCAGAGGGCTGTCTTTCCCACGGCCAATAAAGAGCCACAAAGAGTGGTGGCACGAGGCCAGGAGCCCGAACTCAAGGTGTGGCAGGGCCGCACTCGCTCTGAAGCCCCCGGGAGGGCTCCTTCCCAGCCCCCCAGCCCCTGCTGTGGCCGGGTGACTTTCCCTGGCTGGCGTCCCATCACCCAGTCCCTGCTCCACGGAACACAGCCTCCTCTGGGCCTGCCCACATTTCCTCTCCCTCATGACACCATCGCTAGATCTGGGGCTCGTCCTCATTCCGTAGGACCTCATCTTGTTTACATCTACAAATAGGAAAGAAGGAAAGACCCCATTTCCAGATAAGGTCACATTCTGAGGCCTTAGGTGAACATGAATGTTGGGGAGATATGTTTCAGCCCATTCAGAGAGCCAGAGGCGAGTGTGGTTCAGGGAGCAGACCCGGCCCCGCCATCCGGCGCTTGAGGGGCTCCCAGCCTGCCCACTGGCCTCACCCTTCCCCCAGGCTGGCTGGGGCCCTGGACATCTCCTCCTGCCCTCAGAGCCGGAAGGACGTGCTCTATGCCAAGGCCCGAGAGGCCTTCGGCAGCGCCGGGACCACAGCCGCCTACTACCGCTTCATGCGCCCCTACCTCGGTGAGACCCTGCCCAGCATGCGGGGCTCCCCTCCTCTGGGGCGCCGCCCGCCCCCTCTCACCGCTGCCCGGCCCCCAGGCGGAGCCCCCGTGGAGGAGCTGCAGCACCTGGCCCAGGCGAATGTCACCATGGACATCGACACCTTCACCAACCTGAACCCCCGAGTGCTGCAGGTGAGCCCCAAGCCAACTCCACAGGCCCCGAGGGACCTGAAGCCAGAAGCCAGAGCGTGCAAAGGTGGTCCTACCAGGTGTCCCCTGCGCTCACTCCTAGGCCAAGCACTGCCCTGCAGCTTCCCACCATCCGCTCCCCTCAGCCCCCACCTTTCCCCCCGCAGAGCCTGAGTGTGGGCAGTGTGACCACGCTGCTGGGCCAGAACGTGGGGGACCTGCAGAAGGCCCGTAGCCACCCGACCGTCAGCTCCTGGCTCCGCAGCCTCAACAGGTCAGCCCTGGGCGAGCTGGGCCTAGACACGGACGCCACTGGCCCCACTGGCCCAGCCCACTCTACCACCAGGACCCCCAACACCACCCCTTGGGGGCCGCATGCAGCCCCCACCACAGGCCAGCCCGGGAATGATGCCCCTACCTCGGGTACGTCCCCAAGCCCCCACCCCCATGCCCAGCCTCTGCAGACCCCCGGCTAGTTTCTGGGGTTGTGCCCCATCTCATACTGCTGGCCGCCTCGGTGGCCCTGAGTGACGCTGGCTTCACTCCAGCACCTGCTGAGTTACCGATGGACACAAACCCCCTCCAGACCCCACTAAGCAGCAAGAGGTGGGGCGGGGGGAGCTCTGAGTTCCCCATCAAGGTCCAGAACAGCAGGCTTCCCGCAGGGATGGCGTGAGCCCGAGCCCCGAGGGGCTGCAAGGCCAGGGCCACCAGCCGGGCCTGACGGTGCTCCCTCTGCGTCCACCCACAGGCAACCCACCAGCCCACCCAGGGTGCCTGCCGCTCGCTGTGGCCCTGCCCTCCGGCCTCCTGTGGCTGCTGTACTGGGGCACCCAGGGGCCCGGCCGGTATTGCTCCCAGGGCGCCTGTGCCATGGCCTCCAGAGATGGTGCTTCCCCAGCCCCACACACAGGGAAACCAGGGCTGGCGGGTGGAGCCACACCCCTGCCCAGACCGAGGGGCCGGGCCTGATGATGGACTGAGGATGCCGGCCCGCTCAGGGCCACACTGTCTGGCCTCTGGCCTCCTGCAAGGAGAAGGGCTGGGGCTGGTGGGGGGCTTTGCTGACTGACCTGAATAAAGGACAAGGGGGATTCCTGCCTGTATTCCTGTGCTCTGGGCCCGTGGGGGGGGAACAGAGACCCTCTTCGTGCTGAGTAGGAATCCTGCCTGTCACCTGCTGGGGCAGCACTTTCACCAGGAGCCACCCTGAACTTTGGCCTGGCCTGGGCTGGGGGAGACCTGCAATGCAAACAGCATCACAAAGGCCCTGAGGGCACTCCTGCCTGGAGTCCCTCCCCTGGCCCCTCTTTCCAAGCACAGATGTGACTCTACTGGGTCACAGCCACTCGGCCCCCCACGTCCTCAGAACACCACAGGGCACTCTGCAGAGGGGGAAACATGTCCTCTTTTATTGAGCTCCAGTCCCCTTGACGTTGGACAGAGACCACCCGGGGCTGCTCCCAGCCTGGCAGGGTCTCTGCAGCAGGGCCTGGGTCCCGGGGCCTCTGGAGCAGTGAGCTCAGTTCAGGACCAAGGCCAGGAGCAGGGTCGGGACCGCAGTGAGCACGCGTCCAGGTCCCAGGAGGTGGTGGCCCCCAGACAGGGCCTCTGCGTGGACAGGGCAGGCTCAGAGCCTCCACCTGGCCCTGCCCCCGCCCCCCAGCCGGCCCCAGGGCACCTGGGGAGTGGAGGTCCAGGACCAGGTAGCCGTTGGGGATGCCACCGCAGAGCCCCAGCCCCAGCCGGTCCAGGTCGTCTTGAGACTGACGGAAAATCCAGTCCCGCGTGGGGCCATTCCCCTCCTCGGCCTTCAGGCCAGGCAGGTTTAGACCCAGAAGCTTTCGCACCTTGGCGATTGTCAGCAACTGCCAGAGCCCCCAGGCTGCTGGGCTCCACAGCGTCCAAACCACGCACTCTCCCAGTGCCCACCAACCTGGCTGGCCCCTCCAGAGTGGGGGGCATGCCCCACCCCGCCCCTGGGTGAGGCCCTGCTTCCTGCGGCCCCGTCCCCCCCGCGGCCTGCCCACTCATGCCAGGCCGTACCAGCATGGCCTCTGTCCGCAGCGTCCGGAACGTAGCCACGTCCATGTTTATGTTCTGCCTACTGAGTGCCTTCAGGTCCTCCGTGAGGGCCCCACCTGCCCATGGGGAGGGGGCCCCCGTGTGAGACTTTACAAACCCCCCCACCCCCCACCCCGTCTTTCCCTCTGACCACAGACTGCAAGAAGCCCGTTTCTTTTACCAAGATTCCCTTTTCCTAAAGAATTCCTGGGGACCACCTGACCTGCTGGGTTCCAGGACAGGCTGGAGGGGGCCGAGAGCCTGAGCGGGGGCCTTGGTCCGCTCACGCCTGGAGGGCAGAGGGTCACTGCCGGTGCAGTGAAAGCCCAGCAGCACGGAGGGGAGACTCGCTCTCACACCCTCACGGAGCCCTTCCCGACTCACGCAGGTAGGGCGCGATCTTCACAAAGTATTCGGACCCGCTCATGTTCTGGAAGGCAATGTGGGCCTTGCAATAGAGTACTTCCATCTGCTGCGGGCCACGTGTGTCCAGGTCCTGGGGCCTGGCTGCCCTAGGGAGGCGGGGAGGCAGGGCAGTGAGCTGGGAGCACAGCACACCCACCGGGCCCGGCAGACCCCAGGGCTCACCAGATAGCGTGGCCTTGCACAGAGCCCAGCCGCTCGGGACTGAGGAAGCACAGGCAGGGGGACTGGAAAGTGGCCAGCGTGTCCAGAGGGGCCTTGTCCAGCCGGCCTCCTCTCATCAGATAGCAGGCAGTCAGGGCGGCCACCTGCGGGAGGGAGCCACGGAGGTGCCTTGGGGCTGGGCCTGCACGACCTCACGCCTGCGCCCCTCCCAGGCCCACACAACCTCACGCCTGCATCCTCACACCCGTGCCCCCAGCAGGTGGTCACCTGAGCATCCATTTTGTGCCCTTTGCTGACTTTAAGCGGAGATTTTACGGTCTTCAGAGATGTCACATTCCACTTGTGGATGACCTCGGGGGTGACAGAGGAGGAAGCACCTCAGGCACCAGATCAGGGACTCGGGGTACCCCAGTGGGTAGAACTGCCCAGGGAAGTGAGCGTGAGGGCTGCAGCCGCTCTGGGCCGCTGGGGTGGCCGCAGCTTGGCCGGCTGGCGGGCAGGCAGGGCCAGTCCCAAGCTACCTTGTCCAACGTGCGCTTGAAGACGTCAAGCTGCTGGTAGGTGAAGGGCACCAGGTCCACCTGCTCCATTCGAGCGTCAAGCAGGCCCTCGTCCACACAGGCCCCCAGCTCCCACTCCTCGTGGAAGACCAGGTTTTCATCCACCATGCAAGCCTTCCGCCCTGGGGGGCAGGCCCTCCCTGCAGGGCCAGGCAGGGAGCAGGGCTGGGCCCCCTCCGTCCACCTCTTCCTCCCCTACCTCGCTGAGACCCTGGGCAGCGCATGACCCCCACCCAGCCTCCGTTTGCCCACTGGCAAAATGGGGTGATTCTGTCTACTCTCTGAGGTTGTCAGGACTAAGCTGAGCTGCCGAGAAGGGCCACAGGTGAAGCAGGTGTGACCCCACAGTGCCGCCCCCCGCCCCCAGGTCCCCCAGTGCCCAGTGGGGCAGGGCGCCGTACTCACTCTCGGTGCCCTGGCAGGCTCTGGGGAGGGTGACAGTCAGCTCAGGCTGCTTCCAGGACAGGTCCTGGGAGGTGTGTTTCCGCCACGGGGTCATGACACCCTGAGGACAGCAGGGCTGCGGCTCAGGGGTGTGGGCCTCCCCTACCCAGGGCCAGGAACCCTCCCGGTTCCCCAGAGGGACTTTACCAGCCCTGTGTCTGCAGCCTGGGTCCTGGAAGGTAGCACCCCCCCTGCAGGGGAAGGGGCACAAGGCTTGAGGGAAGGCCAGGGGCTCTGGGTGTGCTTGCTGCAGGCCCCCACCCTGGAGAGGGAGGGGGCAAAGCCAGCCCCTCCCTGGCACCCAGCCCCCTCACACCTCACGCATGTGGGCATAGAGGGCTAGGCCCCTGCCCTCCACACCCCACGATGTCACAGCTCGCCACGCCACTCCCCATGCCAGGCCAGGCCTGTGCCCCACGGGGAGCCAGAGCCTTCAGAGCCTCCCGGAGTCCCTGCTGCTCAGGGAGTCAGACACCCATTGCAAGGACCCCGCCGCCTTGGCCTGCGCCCCGGTCACTGCCCGACTCAGCCTCCCACCCCACAGGCCATGGTCCAGCCAAGGCGTTGGGCACACAGAGACACGGCTGGCAGCCTGCCAGACTCAGGGCCCCCACCCTGGACGAGGTCTCTGCTCACAGCTGGGGTCAGGTGGGGGTTGGCGTGGGCCCACAGACCCTCTCCCGAGGCCTGCCCCTGGCGCTCTCTGGTGCCCCAGCGCTTCTCAGCAGCCCACCCCCATTACTCACGGACACTGAGGAGGAGGATTATGAGGCTGCAGTGGGCGCCATCCCCGCCGGACCCTGTGGCTGTGTGAGCAGCCCGTGAAGCCATGTCTGTGGAGGAAGCTGTTCTGATACCCCACTGCTCGGGCGAGATCGAAGCCCCTCCCCACCGTTCCCCACACCCCATGCCCGGCCCCAGGCCCGTGCCGGGCCTCAGGCTGCAGGGTCCCAGGGCCACAGAGGAGTCCCAGGTCGAACCTTCCCAGGCCCCTGCAGTGGCGTCTGGGCGGCCTCCAGCCCCGCTCAGGGACCAGCCAGGACGCCTGGCCCGCCCCCTCCGGGAAACCAGCCCCTCCCACCTGCCCGTGGGGTCTGAGCCAGCCTGGCCCCAGGCTGTGAGTGACCTTGGGCAGCTAGCGCCAGCCCCTCTCCCCTGGGGCAGGGTAGGAGAGGCCGTCGGGGCGAGGAGGCGGGGCTGCCTCTGGCTCAGGACGGCCTCGTCCCTGTTGTGTGGGAGAAGGGCGCCGGCCTGGGATGTAGCCGTCTTCTCCCCGCTCTGCCACACCCACGGCCGCAGGAGCTGGGTTTCTACCAGGTGGACAAGGCCTGTGAGGCTCATGCCCTTCTGAGGTTCCTCCCCAACAGAGGCCTGGGCGGGGGCCTCAGGGCAATGCCCCCTCTCACCGGTCAGCCCCTGGGAATCCTGGGGAGACCCCCTGCACTCCGGATGGGGCTCAGGGGCCTCGCAGGCCACAGTGGGATGGGGAGATGGCTGAGGGTCTGCGGGAGGCCCAACCGCCTATCTACCCCTGCCCCTCCCCTTGTGCTGGGGTGGAGCCGAGCGGTCCCCTCCCCACAAGCCTTCTCAGAGGCCCCCCTTTCAGCTGGGCAAAGAGCCTGGCCCGCAGGGGGTGTCCTGGGTGGGGCCTGCCCCACCCCCGCTAGTCTCCAGAGGTGGGAGAAAGCCAGGCCCCCGGAGGAGAAAACGGTGGCGGTGGCCGGAGCAGGCCCTGTGCCTGGGTACTAGGCCAGGCAGGAAGTGTGCCCCCTGCTCTGGCCTCAGCCCCCACCCCAGCCTGCATCCCCAGGGGCCCCCAGCACCCCAGGAGGAAATCCTGGGGCCCTGACCTCACAGCCCTGAGGAGCCTCTGCAGGCCACTGTGGGCCCTGGAATCTGCATCCTTTGTACCCCACTCCACCGCCACCCCCAGGAAGCCCAGGCTGGGGCCACGGAGACACCTGAGCTCTCCCAGGGCCGCAGCTTCCACAGTGGCCAAAGTGCCACCTGCAGGAGCCACGTCCGCCTGGCCAGTCCCAGCACCCGTGCTCGTGTGTCGTGGAGATGCCCCAGCCAGACTCCTCTCCTGGTCAAGGCCACTCTGATGCTTCCCCTTCTGCCCAGCACCACTTCCTAAAATGCTGGTTAGCGGGTCCCAGCGGGGGCAGGGCAGGGAAGGTGCTGGGGGGGTGCCCCATCTCTGGCCAGGAGTCCTCCGTGACCAGGGCCCACCTGGTCACCTGTCACTCACTGACCACCTGCACACCAGCTGGGTGCCTACTGGGTGCTGGGCACACACTGGGGCAGGACAGATCCAGTCCCAGGCCAGGGCCACTCCTGTACCAGCCTTGGCCTAACCCCTGCCCCCTCCCAGAGCCACTCAGCTGGGGTGCCCGGAGGTGCTGACAGGAGGGCGCCTGCCCTCACCTCTCCGGGTGTGCCCGCACCTGTGACCGGGCCGCTGGGCTCATGTGGGCACGTGAATGAGGCAGTGGTCAGTCCCTCGGGAGCCTGGACACTGGGCTGGGCCCCAGGACACCCCTCGGATAAGCCCCGGTTTCCCCGGCCCTCTGCAGGGTCCAGGCGGCCCCCGCCCTCGGTGATTCTGATGTTCTCGGCTGACCAGCTAAACCTGAGCCTCCTGTGCCTCAGTTTCCCCAGTGACAAGCGGGGTGCTTAGGAGGATACGGGCTCTCGGGTCTGTCCAGAAACAGAGGTGAGGCTGTCCCAGGGCAGCTGAGGACAGCACCGCTCACGTCACAGGAAGGTGTGGATGGCGGCCCATGGAGCCCTCGGGGGAGGAGGGGTGAGGGTCTCTCCCTCGGTGAGCATGGCTGGGGCTCAGCTGCGGTATGGGAGCCAAGGCCTTGCTTTGGTCTCACGCTCCCATTTCTCAAGAGGTGAGACTGAGGCTCCATGACATGGAATGGCCACAGTTGCTCAGTAAGGCGGGTGTGGTCCCCACCTGGTGCCATGCCAGGGTCTCCGCAGGCCACCCGCCAATCCCACGTTCGGTGGATTCTGGGTGGTGGCCACTTGTCCAGGACATGGTGTCTGGGAGCATCAGCATCTTTGGAGCAAGGGCTGGGCTCAGGGCGTATCAAGCGTGGGCAGGGACGCAGAGACACCGTCACCTTGTCCCGTGCTGGTGGGAAGGGAAAACCGTGCAGCAGCCGCAGAAAACAGTGGGGTGGCACCTCGGAACCTACACCCAGGATCACCACATGACCCAGCAATGTCAGGTCCACCCAGAAGATTTGAAATCAGGGACTCAAACAGATACTTGCACACCCATGTTCATGGACGCATGATTCACAACAGCCAAGATACCAAACAACCCACGTCCATCAGCGGATGGATCAACAAAGCCTATACCCATGCAATGGAATATTGTCAGCCCTAGAAAGGAATGGGGCTCTTGCACGCGCTGCAACACGGATGCGCCCTGAAAGCGTTGTGCTCAGTGCAAGAAGCTGGATATAAAAGGACAGACACTGTGCGATTCCACTGACATGAAATGTCCAGATTAGGGAAACCCGTTGAGGCAGAGTGTAGAAGAGAGGCTGGGGGGTGGGGATGGGGAATCATTGTTTAGTGGGTACAGACCTTCTTTTTTTTGGAAGATGAAAAAGGCCTAGAAATGGATAGTGCTGACAGCCACACAGCATTGTGAACGTGCTTACTGCCACTGAGCTGTGCCCTTAAAAATGATCGAGGGAGTAAATTTTATTTTATGTATATTTTACCACAATAAAACATCAGTAGCATTCCTTGCTAATAATAGCAAGTTTAATAGATAAATATATCATTTCTAGTAACAGCGAAATCCACAGTTTCTAGAAATCACCTAGCTGGCAATGTGGGGCACGCTTTTATGTGGAGCACGTGGTATGATAAAGCTGTCAGAGCTCCTAAAATTATTCTACACATTCAATTCAATCCTAACAAAAATTCTAGGAGGCTTTTTTTTTTTTTCTTCAGGAACCCAACAATTTCATTTTTAAAAATAAAAGAATAAATATCTGTGATCTAAAAAGAAGATGCAAGCTGTAAGTGAAATCAACAAAAAGGAAAGGGGTGTGTGGATATATGATTTTGAGATTAAAGTTAGTCTTAATATATAAATAAAATGTAGAATGTTTCCTTAAAAAAAATAAAAATAGAAGAGGCGAGCTCTCAGTAAGACAAATCCAGAGAAATTAAGGCAGGGACAGGCAATGACGTAATGACGTGGGCTAGCAATTTCAAGCACATTTTGCACCATGTGCCCATGGGGATGCCATACGTGAGGCAGATGGTTCATAATTCAGTGGTGGGGGAAGGGACAGATCTGTGGGGCAGATGGTGTCAGAAAATACGACTTACTGTGTGAAGAAAAATAAACTCAGACCCCTATAGCTCACGTCATGTGCAAGTTGGACACCAAGTGTACAACTAAAGACCTACATACAGAGCAGGGACTCTGCCGACAGAAAGGACAGGCCTTGGGGAAGAGGCCAGCACACATGGGAACACCGCAAAGCGTGGAGTCTGACTTCACCAGAGTGAAGATTCCTGTTCAATAGACAAACAGGCAATTAACAGGAGGCAATATAAGGGGAAAAGAGATTTCTAGCACCTAAAAGTGCCCATGGTTCAGTGACAAGAACCCCCAAGGCCTGGAATCAACAAGAAAGGCAGAGAAACCATGGACAGTAGCCAAGGAGCCGAGCAGGAAGACCGTTCAACCTCAGCGGCGACCAGAGACATTCTAACTCAACGCTGAGGCACAGAATCAGAAAGGCGCGTGACAGCGGTGCTGACGGCCGCGCGGAGAGCGACGGCAGAATTCTTTCTGATGAGCGAAAGGAAGTGGCGATCATCACAGATCACCTGGGAAGACACAGTCACCCTGGCCCTGTCTCTGCGCCTGCCGCTGAGCTCCCTCCGCGGCCGGGGGCAGCCCTGGCTGGGCGTTCTGGGGGTGGCAGGCAGGGGCATTTGCCCCTGGGCTACTGTAGGCCTATTCGTTCTTTGAGTGAACAAAACCACTTTGGGGCTGTTTATTCTGTACATTCTCTCTCCTTCCACATGGCTGAAACAGGTGCTCCTCCGGGCACCTCCGGTCAGTCTAAGAGGTTGCAGAGTCACTTCTGGCTTTGCTGGTTTGATGGCTGATGTGGACACATTTGGCTGCAACCCAATCGTGCCTGTGAGGCAAGGGCAACCGGCCAGCTGCTGGCAGGACCCACGTTCTCAGAGCGCAGACCCCATGCCCCAGCGCAGCAGGCCGGCTACTGTCTGATTTCTCAAAAACATCCATCCCCCAGTGTGGGCAACGTAGGAAAGGGGGCCTGGAGCCTGGAGTGGAGACCCATCACTGGGTTGCCTCCACTCCAGGCTGCCTCTTCCAAGGAGCCTTCCTTGGTTGGCAGTCTTCTGGGAGGTCACCCCCTCTCCCCTCCACCGTCCACCCAGGGCCACACTGTGGATGAAGAACTGCAGGAGATGGCATTTTATCCCCATTTTACAGAGGACGCTGGCCCTGGAGAGGTCCCATGGCCGCCAGAGCCCTCATAAGAATGGGTCTCCTGGCTTTGGCAAAGAGCCCAAGGACAGCTCCAGGGTCAGGAGCCCCAGAGGTCAGGGCCCGGCTCAGCTGCTGCCCTGTAAGCAGCTTCCTGGGAGCTCAGTTTCCAGCTCTGCAGAGCAGGCGTCAGCATGTAGGGTGGCACTCGCTGCTCAGGTGGCCTTGATGCCCGGCTCTGCTGGAGCCCCACAGCTGCCAGCCAGCTCCGGCCCTGAGCAACTTTGCTACTTCACAGCATTTGTAAATACAGCAAGTTCCTGCAGCTGAGCCCCGACTTCACGGGGATGAGTGGGGCCCCTCTGCCCCCCAGAGCTGGCCAGAGTCCTCTGGTGGCTAGGAGGGCTTCCCTTTGCTGCTCTGTGCCCAGGCAGAGGCCACGGCTCCTCAAG